ATGAAGGAGAGAAGGAGAGAGGAAGAGAAGGAGAGAAGGAGAGAAGGAGAGAGGGAGAGATGGAGAGAAGGAGAGAAGGAGAGAGAGAGAGATGGAGAGAAGGAGAGAAGGAGAGAAGGAGAGAGGGAGAGATGGATGGAGTGTGCAAAGAGGAGTGTGTTCCTGTTTGTTTGTGTGGTATTGCTGGTTTTAGTTGATTTTATAAGGCTTTTAACTTGTAACCTGCTCCCTTGTGTGTGTGTGTGTGTGTGTATGTGTGTGTGTGTGTGTGTGTGTGTGTGTGTGTGTGTGTGTGTGTGTGTGTGTGTGTGTGTGTGTGTGTGTGTGTGTGTGTGTGTGTGTGCTCTTCCTATCATTTACTGTTTATTGCACCAGGACCGCCCCCCCCCAACGAGCCTCATCCAGTTTGTTTTGTCAGCCCGGCTCGCGGACACCAGGCCGAGCTGGGGATCAATCCGGCTCACAGAGCATCCGCCCCCCCGTCCCCCGTCCCCCGTCCCGTCCCCCCCCCCCCCCGTGTCTCTGGGAGCCGGTTGGCACGCTGGCATTGACCACAGAGCCGTGCGGAGCTAACGGGGCCAGCATGAAGGCCCCCGACTGATGGGAACCCCCAACCGAAAAATGAAAACGAATTGATTGAACTTTGACTCGTGTGGTTGTAATGTGGGAAACCCGTCGCCTCTTCTGTGTGTTTGGAGGCTCAAGGAAACCAAACACAGACAACATTCATCGGTTCAGTTATCGCTCCATCTGGCGGAAGCAAACTCGGGTGCCAATTCTCATTTTGGCATCTGACAGGAAACAGCCAGTTATATTGTTGGTAAATAGAAAAGTGCCAATCATCGCTAGGAAAAGAGTAGAAATAGAAATCAGAGGAGAGTTTGTTTTTCTTTGCCGTCTCTTTGTGTCTTTTCAGTCGGCCTGTTATTTAAACTGATTGACCCCAGTGGGATCCAAAACCAGGATGCGAATGCAGACAAACAAACGGTTCCGGCCGATACGATGAGGCGATTCTTCCATTCGATTGGAACATTTCGAGCTCGACAAATGGAACAATTTGCCAAAACAAGCTCACGGTCGTCTGACGGATGGAGATGTGGAAGAGCTGGTGTCGTAATACGTAGCGTTTTATCGTATTTCATCTGTAAGTACATTGAGAGTAACTAAAAAAACGGATTCACAAATGAGTGACAACGTTAGATCTTTGGAATAATTGCCTCTTGATTCTCGTACAGCAGATGTTCGCATCCTGAACGGGCACCTTGGGGTTAACTTGAGGCAGCTGAAGAAATTCAACCTGCCAAAGACGATGATGGTGCACTTCTACACGGCCATCATGGAGTCCATCCTCTGCTCCTCCATCGGCGTCTGGTACGCTGCAGCCACAGCCAAGGACAAGGGCAGGCTGCAGCGTGTCCTCCGCTCTGCAGAGGAGGTGATTGGCTGCAATCTGCCGTCCCTGCAGGACTTGTTGGCTTCCAGGTCTCTGAAGCGAGCTAAAAAGATGGTGGCCGACCCCTCCCACCCCGGACAGAACCTGTCTGTGCCCCTTCCATCTGGCAGGAGGCTGAGGTCCATCAGGACTAAGACCTCCCGCCACACGAAGCGGAGGAGAATCATAATGTGTGCGAGCTGCTGTTCAGCCCCAGAAACTCAACAGCACACATGTGGGGGGGTCACGTGGGGGGGTCGAGCGGTCAGGGCGGCGACAAAGCGAAGGTGCGGCGGCGTCTGTGGCCGCGACCTCGACCCACATGAAAAACGTCCACCGCGGCGTTCATCCCGGGCTCCCCGGAGGGTCCTTTCATGTGTGCCGGGGCGACGGCCTCCTGGGGGGGGCGAGACGCCGCAGAGGTCGTTAGCTATCGTTGCCAAGGTCGCGGCTCTCGCTCGGTCGGGGCGGTTGTGGGTTTCGCAGCGGCCACGAGATTGGCACCGTTTCACCCCCCCCAGCAGCGTCCCAGAGGCTCTTCTCCCACGAGGATGGCGCTCGCTGAAAAGGAGTTTTAATCTTTTAGCCTTAAATTGGCATAAAAGTAGCTCCGCCTCCACCAGCAACAGCAGTAAAGTCTACTTGTCCACTGACATCACAGTGAAAGGAGACTTTTAAATGCATGTCATGGTCGTTCAATGACCGTTGCATTTGAAGTTTCTACTGAAACATATTTAATCGTTTTAATTTTTTAAGAAACACGTTATCTGAATCATTCTGTGTTCTCTCGTCTGTCATAAACTCTAAATAACACAGCTACGCTGTTGGTTCTCAAGGTTGTAGGTTCAGTATTTCTAACACACTGTATTGGTACTTTTACTTTGTTAAATCGTAAGTGTGTCCAACAGGGCAAACGATATTAAAAAATGGGTCCAACATGTTTCTTCTTGTATGATGATTAAACCACTATAATAAGAGTATTAGTTATCACCTATTAACAGTGTGAGAAGTGTGTTCTGTGTCATCTATCACATGCCTATAAAACATCTGATTTGGTTCCAGGAGAGCAGCTGGCGGGTTTAAACGTCCCTTTCGGGCGGAATCCAAATCTCTGTCAGCGGCTCAGCCGATGCTCAAGAGAAGCAGAGTAAGATGTTCCACAGTCTGCTGAGGAAGTCCTCGTTTTAAATAGGTGGCCTCGATGCAGCCTCCCCGCCTCCGGGGGCACAGCTACTGTCCCGTCCTCCTGAAACGATTCCCCCCCCCCCCCCTAAGCATCACGTTGGCATGGCAACGGGATGCTTAGCCGCGCTTGTGCTCGCGAGGCGCAACGTGACGTCCTCGCCAGATGGCGTTCATTATCCCGGCCAGCAGGGGGCGACTCCTCCGGGTTGGGTGGAAGTCCGTGAGAAAAGGAGCCATTTTTTGTGAATTGTAACATTTGTCCGTCTCGCCCTGCGAAGCTCCATCGCTGCTGTCAGGACGTCGGAGACGCTTCTTCGCCCTGTACGACCGGCTGCCACGACAGGGGTTCAACTCTTTGGATGTAATGTGGTTTGAAGGAGAGTTCAAACAGAATGGGCTTCATTAGACACTTCACGTCATGATGATTTATACTATTGTATAAAGGTTCTGTTCTTTTATGGACCTTTTTTAACCGGCATTTATTCATATTACTCTTGAACAGCATTATTTTTATAAATTAAAGCAACATTCTTGTCTTTGCGACCAGGATCTGAATCTTTCTGTGACCTTTGCAACTAATGAATAATAAATACTTTGCACTTACGAACTCTGTACAGCGTTAAAACCACAGCGAAAGCCTGTTTTAAAGTCATTCTGACATTCAGATAGAGAGAGCAGTAGAAGTGGTCTTTAGCAACTTTGCAGTTCAAGGTCGTGCTGCAGGGCGTTCCGATAACTCTTCACCCTCCATCAGTCTATGGGGATTTAAAGTTGGCACCATTATTTCGTGAGGTCTGAGGTCCGGCACAGAGCATCTCTCCTCCCTCACTGATCAATGCAGGCGGCCTCCGTCTTTCTTTTGCCTTCAAATTAAGCCGCTGGATGGAAATGAGTCTCCCCGGTAACGAACGGCCGCGTGAGGGGGAGTGAGGGGGAGTGAGGGGGAGGTTGAGGAGGAGCGATGCATTTGCAACCCTCAGGACAACTTAATATTTAATCAAGTTACCTCATCGGTAACCCTAAACCACCTCAAGCCCCTCAGGTCGCCACCAGCAGACAAAGGGGGGAATAAAAAGCATTGTCACTTTTTAACGTCGTGTTTACGCCCGGTGGAGGCGACCTCGTTAGAAGGCGGAGCAGCGTGTGGAGAACGGAAGTCTTGGACGATGGTGTTCGGATTCAGATTCAGTGAATCGCTGAAAGGTTTTGCCCTGATGGGGGGGGGGGGGGGAGGGGCACAAGCAGAAAGGTCACAAAAAATCATTCCCGTTGTGACCTCGGGGCGGACGGTCGTCCGATGGATTTCGGGTCAATGTCCTCTAAACCGAAGCGGATCGATCGCGCGGTGCCGGAGGCCGCTCGGCGTCACGCCGACTGAAACGAAGCGTCTCTTCCTCTCACGCGTCCACCTGAGGAAACGGAAGTTTTTATTGTTTAACCAACGTCTTGGCTCCTTATTGTCACCGGTGTCGCTGTACCTCCGCGTCATTTTCACCGCTCAATCATCATTCCTCCACGCAAGCTCTGTAGGGATAAACGTTATGTTTGTAGCTTCGCCGTGGTTACCGCTGAGCGATGATGCAGCTGACGTGGCCCCGCTGAGCCGCCGGGCGCCACAATGGCCTTACAGGTGTTTGAGGAGGAGTGAATCCCTGTTTGGGAGACGAGGGTGGAGGCGGAGGCGGTGAATGGCGGCCGGTAGGCGGGCCGATGGACCCCCAGGAGCGCCGGCGTGGCCCCGTGAGAGGGAGCGGGGGGGGGGGGGGGGGGGGTTAGCTCAGCGCGCGGCCTACTGGGAACTACGTCAGCACTTTGGGGAGAAGCTGCTGAAAGTGCTGACGAGGTGGTGTTGAAACACCCACCCGCCTGATGGAGGTTTGTGTGTGCATGTTAAACAGGAGGGAAAGGAGGGGGGGGGGGGGGGCAGATCTGCCTGCTTCCCAAACTGCGCGATGACTCTTCATTTTACCTGGCACCCGAGGGCGCAGCTCTTTGTTTGACCCCCGACCCTCAAAAATAGGGGGGGGGGGCTTCAAATCCCTCCTCTGCTGCTTCTTGATAATTAGCTGCAAGGACGCTGCAGAGCTTCAAGGGCGACGGGCTGCGTCCCTCTGCACTGCGGCCCCCGCTGATGTGCATGCCAGAGCCCCCGTAGCGCTTCTGTCGACTGCACATCCACATGATGCTGCACGGAGAGGAGGAGGGGTGGAGGGGGGGGGGGGGGGGGGCAGTGGGGTGATTACATAAGGTTGGGTAACAGGGCCCGCTGTGGGGATGCACACTAGACAGTGTTGATGGAGTCTTTCACAGGCCCGATGGGGTGTTGATTAGGATGTTCTCACATACATCGCCCCCCCCCCTCCCCCCCCCCTCTGGTTCCCAGGTGCGGTGCGAGCCTCCAGCATCTTCCCCATCCTCAGCGTCATCCTGCTCTTCATGGGCGGCCTGTGCATCGCTGCCAGCGAGTTCTACAAGTCGCGCCACAACATCATCCTCAGCGCCGGGATCTTCTTCGTGTCGGCAGGTGGGTCCACGGCGGTGTGCAGGCCCCTTCTTCTAAAAGGGTTCAATAGCTTCAATATTAGGTACTTATACTCAGGTTGTTCGTACGCAACAGGACAAATTATAGTTTAGTTTCACATAAGAAGTGCTAAGCTAAGTGGGCCGTGACTTCATATGGACAGAAAGGGAGTTTCATTGATCCACTCATGCAACTCTGAGGCGAGTTAATAAACGTTTCCGTTAAGTTGTTGTAATCAACGTTGTACCGCTGGCGTCTCCCGCACTGCAGCTACAAGTCTCTTCTTCCACTCGTCCTCCTCTTGTCCTCTTTTCTTTTCTCCTGATCCTGTCGCTGGGCTAAAAGCCGTCCTGCGGGACTCGTCTCTAAAAATAAGGTGTCCCTGACACACTTTCCCCACGATCCATCCAAGCCGAGACGCCACGTCAAATATCTCTCCGCGTGTCCCGACCAACTAACAACTCAGGATAGAACGCAGACGACGTGTGACGGCGCGTGGAATATGTCGTCCGCCGCGGAGCTGCAGCCGATCCGCCGATCAATGAACGGATTAATGTGCATGAAACACATGTTTGTGAAGGTGAAGTTCATCGTACGCGAGCTCATCCCGACTTTTTGTCTCGTTTCCCCCCCACAAACCCATTACCCATAACCCACCACTCCGACCCCTGCAGGCCTGAGCAACATCATCGGGATCATCGTGTACATATCAGCCAACTCGGGGGACCCTTCGAAGAGCGACTCCAAGAAGAACAGCTACTCCTACGGCTGGTCCTTCTACTTCGGGGCCCTGTCCTTCATCATGGCTGAGATGGTGGGCGTCTTGGCCGTGCACATGTTCATCGACCGGCATCGGCAGCTCCGGATAGGGGCGCGCGCCGCCGACTACCTCCAGGGCTCCGCCATAACGCGAATCCCCAGCTACCGCTACCGCTACAGGCGCCGCTCGCGCTCCTCCTCCCGCTCCACGGACCCGTCCCACTCGCGCGACACCTCGCCGGTGGGCCTCAAGGGCTTCAGCGCGCTGCCGTCCACGGAGATCTCCATGTACACGCTGCCCCGGGACACCCTCAAGTCCTCCGGCACGCCCACGGCCACCTACAACTCGGAGAGGGACCACAACTTCCTGCAGGTCCACAACTGCATCCAGAAGGACCAGAAAGACTCGAGCCAGACCAACACAGCCAACCGCCGCACCACGCCGGTATGAGGGAGGCCACGCGGGGCCGGGAGACACGCGGGGGGGGGGACGGACGGACGGACGGACTTCCATGTTTATAGACATTTGTTGTTTTTGTTCGGCTGCATGACTTTTCCATTGCCGTTGTTGAGGGCGGGTCGACGGGTCGACGGCGTGAGGGTTCGTTTGTGGGGTTTCGGGCACTTGAGGAGAGAATAGGGGGGGGCGTAGGAGGGGGAGGGGCATTTATGAGGTAAAAATTTTGGTTTTGACAGGTTTTGCCCCACAGGTTCAAGTTAAAGCCCAGATATACACCTCGTTCATTTATTGACTCCTTTGTTCATTTTTTGCATTAAAACTGTGAATTGTTACAGTTTGGGATTCCGTAAGAATTTGCCCAATCTGTAATCTCTATCAAAGGTACTATAAATATATATATATATACACATATATATATATATATATATATATATATATAAATGTATTACTTTTATAAATACATTATTACGTTAATAATCAAGATTTACAGACTTTAACGAAGCAAAAAGAGAAAAAAAAGGAACAAGTTAACCAAACAAAGTGCTGTTGTCGAGATGAGAAAAGACTCTTTGGGTTCCGGCGGGTTTGAAGGTTGCGATCAGGAGGCGGAGCTTCAGGTAGCAGCAGTAGAATAATATCTATTCTTTTGATAGAACCTTCTCGCCTTTTTCTCGGCCCCTGTTCGCTTTCTTTTTTTTGGGGGGGTCGAACCCCTCGACAGAAAGAGCCACCCACAAAAGGGGTCGAAGGTCACAGACTCCAAACACGACAATAAAAAAAGGAAGGAGCAGAGGGGAAGGAAAAGAAGAGGACGCCAAACACAAGTTAAATATAAAATAGTTCAAGACAAGCTAGGTGACTCACAATTTCAGAAATTTAATGCATGCTATAAAATTACAGCAAATCTGCTCTTGAGAAACTTAAGTTTTAAAGGTAAATAATTATAAGGGGAAAAAAGCAAAGACGCTAAAGTTTAAAGTATTAATGTTTTTATGTGTATTCTTGTTTTCTTTTGAATTTATTTAGTTCAATTATCTTATTGATTTTGTGAGACAAACCAGACAAACAACATTGAACAAAACTGCTTTTTTAAATGGTTTGGTTGATTTCTTTATAAATATATGTATGTATGTATTTTATTTTGAAAACTCACACAGCCTTAGTCATTTCTTTGTTTGTTTTGATTTTTAACGTGTTGTTCAAATTGAAAATGAAATCTTTAAAGGTGCCAAAACCGAATGATCCTAAACTTGGATGCATCAAGTCCTGATGAATAAAATACGAACCCTGGGGGGAACAAAGCGCCGTGTTTCACTGCGTGTCTCTAAACACACTTTGCCTCACAACACTCGTCACAAACGAGCAGATCTCCCACTCTGAAGGCCGGACGGTCGCCTCACCTGCAGCTCTGGTTTCTTTCTGTTTCCCTACCAAAGCTTCACACTTCAGCGCAGCAGTCATGACGCTGAAGGCGCCGATGAGGTCCTGGTGGTTTCTGTAGCTGTGTGCATGTGTGGAAGTAAGCAGGCGGGTCGCGACACCTCACCCGTATGATGCTGTTTGAGCAGAAAGTGCTTCATAATGTGTAAGTAAGTTTGTATAAGTGCTCATGAGTATAATTATAGAATGACAACAGGTTATAACAGCGTTATAAGCATCTTTATAAAGTACTTTCTAACCCACCGCAAACCGGAAGAACCCGTTTGAAGGACAAAGCAGCTCTGACCCACAATTCATCACCGAGCTTCTTTCTGAAGGAGAAAGTCCACGAAGGTTCGGCCTCCTGCACGGATCCGTCCTGTCTCACACACGCACACACACCACGGGTGTTTCACGCAGACTACACGAGTGAGTAGAAGGACTCTATATTCGCTCGGCCTGAAGCGGCCCGGCAGATTCATCGAGTGAGGGGGGGAAAAAAAAGTTTGCGTTGGAAGAAGTGCTGAGATGCTGAATCACCGGCGAGTTCACGGACACATTAAGAGGCAGAAATATGTCAACGCGGCAGTCCGAGTGAACGGGCTCCTCTTTATTCAGAATTCACTTTACACGCCCGGATCGCACTAAAGAGAAAGGCAGTGCGTGTGGAGGAGATCGTGCTTCTCGTTCCGCCGTGCATGTGTCTGTTGTATGAATGAATCTGCCTGTTGGATCGACGAGGATCACCGGTGCCCCCACAGACTGGTCTTCTTCTGTGTGTGGTGGTACATGCTGAGTCACAATGTAAATAAATATCCAAATTGACCCCAGAAGGACGACTCGACAGGTCCGTATGGGGTCTTTGTGGGGGTGTCTGTGGGGGTCTCTGTGGGGGTCTTTGTGGGGGTCTGCGGCAGTGTGACCTTTCAACAAAAAGGAAGCCCTCAGTTCAAGTCTTCAACACAAGTTCAGTTCAATCAGCAGCTCTCTCCTCTGCAGCATTTGACCCCCCCTGTTCTCCCCCTCCTGCGTTGGCCTCCCTCTCTCCCCCGCTGGGGAGATCAAAGCGTCTCTGCAGTGCCGTGTGATCAGAGGGAAGGTGGTGCAGGTTGGGGTGGGGTCGCTGGATTTGAGTTTAGGTTCCCGTAACCTCGCGTCCAACCGACAGACGACCTTTCTCCGACTCCACCGGACAACGACCTCCTGGCACGGAGAGCGAGCGCCGCGAGGTCACCCGGAGCCCCCGCCAACTTCAAGTCACCCGAGAACGGAGGGGCCGAGGTTTGCTGTGGCAACAAAATGCAACCTGAAACGTGTGTGTGTGTGTGTGTGTGTGGAGGTTTGTCAGAGGAATGTTTGTCTTTCTCCCGTGCGTGCAAACACTGAATCTGTGTGTGTGTGTGTGTGTGTGTGTGTGTGTGTGTGTGTGTGTGTGTGTGTGCGCGCGGCCTGTTGTTTGTGCTGACCAGAGAGCAGTTGCTGACTGCGCTCACCCCGGGTATTTTTGGGTCATGCTGGAGTTGGATGGCAACAGAGCGCTGTGAGCACGGCCAACCAACCGAAAAAGGAAAAAGGGGGGAAAAAAGCTCATTGGGAGCAAACGCAGCGCGACGCGACGCGTTCTCATCTGACACGAGCGCCACTCAGAAATACATCAGCCACGAGGCCTCAGCTGCTCCGCCGCTGATCCTCAGATCAGCCGAAGCTCTTAAACCCGCCTCTGAATGGAGGCCGGTTACACAGAGAGAAAAAGGGAAGAAGAAGAAGAAGAAGAAGAAGAAGAAAGCGCGCCGAAGAGGAGGGGCCGAAGTGGGCTACGGCACACAAAGTGCTCAGGGATGCGTGAAGCGAACGCAGCGCTTGGCTCTGCCCTCTGGTGGCGTGACGGCAGGCGGCTCGCTGCAGGAGGAGAAAGGCTTCCAGATCTCTACGGTATGACTTGTCAAAACTCATGTATAGTGGAAGGAGAATAAAAGGATTCTTTAATTGTAAGGATGCAGCAATTGATACGAGCTGCTGTTTAAGGAGCCAATTGTCCACAGAATAAACATCTGTATATATATATATTTATATATATGATAGATGCAGCATCCCATTAACCTCTGAGGATGAAAGACTTCCAACACGTCCTCAAAGGATAATTTTCATTAGTCGTTTATCAGATCACAATCTCCCAGCATGCAATTGCACACTAGTTTGACACTCCCCAGATGTTCAGTTTACATCAAACAGCAGCGTCCTGGTGTCCAACGCGTCACTTAGTCTGAAAAGGATTTCTGTGCACGTGAAGGGGACATGAGCACAAACGCAGAAGTAACTTTGAGACGTTGGTCATTGTTTGCGTTCATAGAATCAGGACAACAGACCCCGAGTCGCCTTCACACCACCAGCGGCCGAGGGCCTCCGTCAGGTGGAGCGGCGCTGCAGCACCACACTGCCGGTGACTGTGCCAGCGCACGCGCACACACACACACACACACTTATGCATACAAACCACTGCACACGCACGCACAACTCAAGCTCCTCTCTGCTGTCCCAGCATGCACCCTGGTTACCTGGCTGCTGTCCCACTAGCAACAGCTGCTGCAACAGGACGTGACGTTCCACTGCAGGATAGCGCATGTAAAGGACCCCCCCCCCCCCCCGGGGTAAATGGACCTGTTTTTATGTATTTATATGTACTCAAATCACTTTACATCCAGACGTTTAGACAGATAATGAAAATGAAGCACTTTGTGGTAACGAGCAGCTCCATCCCCTGAGCCACAACCTCCCCCCCCCCATATTATGTAAAGAGGAGCTGTGTGGGAGCTTGGAGTGCAGCTCTGAAGCAGGGCAGAGGTCAGCGCCACTGGGGGGTGTTATGCAACAGCAGGCCCGTCTCCACAGCACTGACAGGGCTTCGGTGGGGGGGGGGTCATGTCCTTTAGTGGATATATTCTGCTTTGGTTTGGAAAACGTCAAACCCTTGAAATGGTTGCTGATAAGAGCGACCCGTCCTTGAGCCCCATCACCCCCCTCCCACCCCCCTCCCACAGCAGGCAGGACGGACCTTGAAGGACCTCTTACGAGGGCTGAATATTATGCAGAGAAGCCGGACATCATTACTGCTTGTGGAGGCTCCTCAGGCCCCCCTCTGGGAGGGAGGGGGGGGTCCTCATCACCTGAAGGGTTTTAGTTTTGGCCGTGAGGAGGCTGATGATGTCGCAGCTTAATTACACCGAGTGCCAAAGACTTCAGTCAGCCGGACGGCTCAAGGACGCGCAGCCGGGTGAAAGCTGCCGCGTCGGCTCCACCCGTCCATCACTGCTGCATGGAGGAGGAGGAGGGCCGACCCCCCCCCAGAGTCTTTACTACACAGTTGATTCTGATCTAACTACCTGCAAGACCAACGCTGACGGTTATACTTCTATTTTCTTCGTAAAAACTCTTCACGTTTTGTAAAAGTGAGAATTTCACGTCTTTACAGGTTGCAGATTTGCTAAATGCCGTTTATAAGATTGTGCATTTTAAGTTTAGTTGCTCTGAAGACTGCAAGAATTAACATTAAGGCTTTCAATAATTTTTTCCCTGCATGGAGAACTTTACTATAAGAACCAGGTTTATTTCTGCATGTCTGACCTTTACTTGTCACCCACTTTACAAACTACACAAGCAGTCAGAATCTTATTCACCACACTGACTGGAACAAAGACTCAAATAAGCTTAGAAAACGAACTACATTCATGGGACAGAAACACATTTAAATGAATTCCTGAGACATAATCAGTTTCTTTTTTTATTAAACAACTCTGCAGACAGGCGACAGCGGCAGAGACGGTGAGGACTTCAGGCAGTCTCCTCCTTGGCGATACGGTCCTTCTTGAGTGGTCCCTGTGAGGACAGAAAACAGGACAAACATCAGCAGTGGTCCTAGAACGCTGCGGCTCACGTAGCGGCTCAGCAGCCGCTTGTTTCCAGAGAGTGAACAGGGAGCAGTCACAGCAGCTCTGCTCCCCTGCCTCAATGGAGCTCACTGTGGCACTGGAATGGAACCCACAGTTCATACGGAGAGTGAACCAGATTACGAACAGTGCGTAGAGAAGCGCTACAGTAGAGTTGGATTTGTGACATCAGGATAAAACTGTTCAAGTAACATTATCAGGCATCTGCTGCCAGTTCTTCTCATCTTTGCAGAGACTCTAAAAGCTGCTTGAGTGCACATGGAGGCTCGAGTGAGTCTTACCATGAACGCCTTCTTCTCCTCGGCGGTCTGGAAGCGGCCGTGACCGAATTTGGAGGTGGTGTCTATGAACTTGAGGTCGATCTTCTCGGATGCGCGACGGCTCGTCTGCACCAGCAGAGACTGAGGGAAAGGAAACGAGTCTGTTAACACCAGCTGAAGGAACACGAGGATTAACGCTGCATCTTTTAACACACACACACACACACAAGCTCTCGGGACCAGTGAGGTGCACTTTCCATGTTAAAGCTCACTGAAAATTAAGGTTTCATAAAAGGATAGAATAGAAATCCAGTCAAACAATGAACACTACACTGAATACCAACATTGAGGTTGTTTCCAGAGAGTGAACAGGGAGCAGTCACAGCAGCTCTGCTCCCCTGCCTCAATGGAGCGCACTATGGCACTGGAATGGAACCCACAGTTCATACTGAGAGTGAACCAGATTACGAACAGTGCGTAGAGAAGCAGCACGGTAAAGCTTGGCTTCATATAACTAATCTAACATTTGGTTAAAAGCCTGGATTCTTCGTAGCAGTCAGGCCCTTGGGAAGATGCGTTCACTACACGTGTGCTCACCTTGCGCAGAGTCAAAACCCTCTTCTTGGTCCCCACAACGCAGCCCTTCACCATGACGAAGTCATTGGTCACATCTCCGTAGTGGACAAATCCTCCCTGTAATTAAAACAAACACTTTTGAGCGTTTGACTCCAGCTGCGACGATGTAACAGGCGCTGGAGGCCTCACGGCCACTCACCAGGGGGTTGATGCTCTTGTTGGACAGATCGTACTCGGTGGAGGCGTTGTTCTTCACCAGCTTCCCGTCTTTGGTGTGGTAGCCCTGGCCGATCTTGTAGATCTTCTTGTTGATCTCTGTGCGGTGGTGGTAACCCTTCTGACCAGCGCGGGCCACGGAGAAGGCCACGCGGGCAGGATGCCAGGCGCCGATGCAGGCCACCTTACGCAGACCACGATGAGTTTTGCGCGGGAGCTTCTTGGTGTGCCAACGGCTGGTGACACCTGAGGGGGGGGGACCAGAGTTCTGGTTATCACCAGCCACAGGCAGATTTCATAGTTTCAGCGCATTGATGAACGCTGCTCTTACCCTTGTATCCGTGACCCTTGGTGATGCCGATGACGTCAATCATCTCGTCCTGGGTGAACACGGTGTTGATGGGCACGGCCTGCTCCAGCTTCTCGCGGGCCCAGTCCACCTTGTCGGAGATGGTGCCGCCGTTGAGCTGCACCTCCATAAGGTGAGACTTCTTCTGCTTCAGGGGCAACAGTCGCATCTGCAAGGATGTGAAGGCGGGTGAGAACAGCAGCAGCAACAACAAGCGGCACAGAGACATGCCAGTCTGCGTAGTCTCAGAAGGAAGGCAGCATGGAAATGTATCCTCATGTTAGTCGGGCGCCATGCCTGACGCAAGATCCGTGGTCTCATCACTGACAACAAAGACAACACCTACAACCTCAGGACCAAACTAACCTGCGTGTGGGCGATGATGCGGATGACCTGGCAGTACTTCTTCATGGCCCCAAAGTCTTTGGCCAGTTGCTTCTTGCCATCATCGTCCTGCCATTTCTTGCAGTACTTGGTGAAGGCCTTCTTCTTGGACTTGTACCTGAGCGCACGCAGCGGGGAGAAGACAGGTCGGCACTGGTCCCTCATAACCCCGAAGGGCCAGCGGAAGAACACAGTGCGTAGCTGCTCGCCCTCCCTCGCCACGTAAACATGGGGGGGGGGCTTTACCAGCTAATGGGTTTTTTTTGGCTCATGGCACAGTTTCTAAGAAGCGCTTTCCACTGGCCAGAGGAGCCCGGAGCTCATCAGGGCACTTGGCACCTGAGCGGAGCTGCCACAGGGGCCACCGCAATGTTAGACTCGCTCAGTGAAAACAAGTCTTGAAAATTTCCACTGGGCAACTAACACCTGCTTCAGAGTTTGTCTGCATCGTCTTGTGTCTCACCAGTTCCTGTAGAAGCGACGCTTGCACTCGTCACTGATGTGCTCGGCGAAGATGGTCTTCAAGGAGCGCAGGCCGCGTGGCGTGTTCACGTAACCGATGACGCCAACTACGATCATGGGGGGGGTCTCCAGGATGGTCACAGCCTCGACCACCTCCTTCTTGTTCACCTCTGCAGACAAACACACGTAGTGAGTTTGGGTTTTCACATACGCAAAAGGCAGTGCGTCAAGTCGCGATGTGGACTGTGCTCAGTACGCGACAATCAGCAAGGGCTCGGGCCCATTATGTCCGCCCGTCGGTAGAATCATCATAGACACAACAATACGAAACGTGTGACGATCAGAGGCGCTCGGCGTCTTAAAAAAACTTCCACTCACTGGAACCAGGTCGGTCGACCTCACGCACGATGTGGGTCATGCCGGCCTTGTAGCCCAGGAAGGCCGTCAGGTGCACGGGTTTGCTGGGGTCATCCTTGGGGAAGCTCTTGGCCTTGCCGCGGTGACGACGACTCCTCTTGCGGGGCAAGAAGCCCAGGGATCCGTGGCGGGGAGCCGAAAACTTACGGTGAGACTGAAAGGGAAGAGACGGTAGCCGTTAGCCTTTAGCTAACCACGATGCTGAGCTACATGGCTTAGCTTTAAGCTAGGAGGGCTCGGATGTCGCGTTGGCGTCGCGGCGTTACGGTGCCGGTGTAACTTCTACCATCAACATGATCAAGTTCTGAATACTGTAACGTTTTGTTTAACGGAGTGATATATAAGCAACGTAAAAGAAACGTGTTAACGTTAGCCGTCAAGCGAGCTAGCTAATGCTAGTTGTCAAACTAACAATTTGGGCCATCATAGAAGTTTACGTTCGGTAGGTTAGATACATTAATTGGTACATTGTAAAAAACACACCCAATAACAACGTCACAATAGTAAGAGTAGCAGAAAAGAGGCCTGTGCAAACTGCCATTTTGGATTCAGGGCGGCTGGTGTAAGCAAGTTTGAATCAGCGCTATCAGACTGACAGGAACGAAAAATATATAAAGGACAGTAAAAACAATATAGTATACGAGTAATAGCAGTGGTTGTTGTAGGTAAATTGTGAAGGATGCGTCGGATGGCCTATGGATCGCTGTCCACAGTACAAATGCGGCTTGTTAGCGCTTACCATTGTGTCTCCAATCCGATTCAAAGAGGCCTGCTGAAGAGCATGACTCTGGTATTTATACAGAGCAAATATCGCGAGAGTCAACGGGACTATCCTGGGACGACGGGAGTACCGCCCCCCGAAGATGTTATTCAACCCAGCGGGCGCTAGATGCCGCTGTTCGACAATGCAAATCTAAATGAAACATTCGGACGATACAAATAAGTATCCTAATCAAATTATGATTCAGAGATATTTAATTCCAATAAAGTACTTTACAGAAGTCTTCCATATTTCTTGATTGTATTTCACATAATTAGGAGGCTAAGAGACAACACAAGTGTGTTTTAGTCTATTTACAATATAATTATAACTGTAAAAGTTACTTTGAAGGATTTAATCCAATGTACAATTTAGCAATGAGTTTGTGTTTTGCTATTTTAACTATGATGGGTGACGGTGGCGCACGGAGTAGAGAGCGTGTGCTGGGAACCGCAAGGTTGGTGGTTCAAACACTGGCTGTGTGTCCCTGAGCAAGACACCCAACCCCTAACTGCTCCCTGGGCAACATGTAAAAACCATCGATTAAAAATGTAATCATATTCAAGCCCTATATGAAGGGGCATCTCAATCATAAACATAATGTAAATGATTGTGTCCATAGACAAACTTTTAAATAGAAAATAAATAACAAAAATCGAGTGGTCTTGACGTGTAATACAATTTCATTGGTAAAAAGAAACAGAAGGCAAATGAGGCAGTAATATTGTGTTTTATGATGCAGTGTTACAACACATTCAAAGCGTTTCATCACCTGCACGCTCCCAGGGGAAAGTTTGGGGAGCTTATCGTGTTTATTTGATCACATCATGTCTTTGCAAAATGTAAGAAGGATGTGACTTTAAAGATGCTGTCAGCTGCAGTTTCCACAGAAAATTGTGCTCTAAGCTTCTTGAATTATTGTAATATAATCAGTACACCAAATGCTAAATGATGCATTAGGCGTTGTGTTTTCTAGATTGTAGTGTCGCCCATTTTAGGTCAGAAAAGAAGCATTACACCAAACATAAAATCAAAAACTGTCTTTCAGATTTAATTTTACAGAACTTGTAAAGTGCAACAAATAATAAAAATCTATCCGGTACACAAAAGAGATTTCTACTCGGATGTCTGGCTGTTCTGCTGCAGAAGTGCAGTAGAGCTCAGGCGGTGGGGGGGCAGCAGCTTATCTTCACCCGATGCTGAACACAGACTCAGGCGATGCACAATGTGGGAAGTAGAACCTTCTCAGACTCATGCAACCGGACTGATGTGCAGCTTAAGCCCCAAAAAAGGGTTGGATTTTACTCCCCCATCATCATCATCAGAACACGTGCACACAGGTGTGATTTAGCGCAGTTTGTCCCCGTTGCTGAAGCCCTAAAGAAAACATGTTCTTATTTTAAAAACACACGTTTAAAGTTGCAACACAAAATAATCAGCACACGTAAAGTCTGTTCCAGGAGAGAATCTAGAACCTCTCCGGCCCGGTAACGGATGTCAAGTGCAGCTCTTATCACAGTTCAGAGAGCAGACGTCCCAGAGGACAGGAGGGGGTGGCTCTCGCTGTCCTGACGACAGCGTCGACAACACGATCGCTCAGGTTCCCAGGCGCTCGCGATCCAGGTTCACCTCCTGGAAGAAGGCCTTCCCGAACTCGTAGGTGCTTATCATGACGGCGCAGGCTGGAGCCACTTTGATCACCCTGGGCATGAAACCTGCAGGAAACAGACATTTATTTAATGTATACAGAACATGGTATGTTTGGGTGTGGATGCATTTGATCCAAGATTAGACTCAGTTCAGCCAAACTAAATAGCAAATGAGGAAACCGATCAGATGTAGAAGTGAATCACCTTTCATCGATGTAAGTTTAAGTTTTGTTGCACCGTGATTTTGAAACGAAACCGCAATTTACAAATAAATGTGTTGGCCGACGTGAGTACCTGCAAAAAGGCCTCTGTAGCCCATCTCAGCCCATATGTCCTTCATTATGTGCCACGTGGACTTGGTTCCCTTCAAGGAAGCTGGAAGGAAAGGAGACGTTTCTGTTTAGAACTCACACACACACACACACACACACACACACATTTCCCTTCCACATAGACGAGAAGCAGAGACCTCCCACAGCGTCCATTTCTCCCAGCTGGATCTGTCTCCGTGTCTTAACCACGTCGAAAGGCAGCGTCAGGATGGCCGCGACCTACGCAGACAAAATCATATTATATTAAATACCGCGAAGCCGATCGTCACGCCTCAAACCGCCCGATGACATCTGGTAGAAACCAAACGCTGCCAACAGCTGCAACCTGGTTATTTCACCTAATTAGGTATTAGGAAGTCATGGTGTTGGTAGAGAACAAGACTATAACTCGGTCAACTAAGACTCGGCTTTATTCTCAATATGCTGTCCAATTTGTAATCATATATATAGAAATTCTAAAAAAAAAAAATAGAAGCTGTGTGGTCACATTGCAGGTGTGTGTGTGTGTGTGTGTGTGTGTGTGTGTGTGTGTGCACTCACGGCTCCAGAGACGGCTCCGGCTGTGAAGCTGATGGAGAAGTTGGCCTGAGTCATCTGGGACTCTTCACACAGCTGCGCCTTCACCAGTTCATAGTTAAACCAGTAGAACGCTGTAAATACAAACAGGGTGTGAAACTGATGATGTTGTTGTCGTCGTTGTTGTTGTTCCCATCTTGTCCCCGTTTGAGGTCGTTTTCAGTTCCTTCTATTCTAAAGGTCAGAGGCTAAAAAGCTAAAATAAGTCATCAAGTGAAGTTTCTGCAAAAAGGCATAAAACTAGAAAGAAACTGATGGACGTGTTTATTTCCTCGCTAATACTTTGCGTGTAGAAAAAAACAATACGTTGTATTTTATGATTTTCTTTTGAGGCTCAAACACCCGTCGGCCCGAGAGGCAGGAACTAGTTAAAGAACCTCCCCATGAACTAGTCATCGGTCTCCTGCAGCCTGAGCCACTCGCAGTGTTTGTTTGTTGAATATGCTTCAGGAGCAGCTGGATGAGCCTCCGTCGGTAACATCTGTCCTCCCTGTGATCAATGCTTCACCGCGTGGGTAAGTGCCGCGTCTCACCAGAGAAGGGCACGTCCCGGAGGACGGTGGGTCCCCAGCCCCTCCAGAGGGACAGCAGCCCGCCCTGAGCCACGGCCGAGCGGATGCACACCCGCAGCTCGCCGTAGGACAGCCGGCGGGCCTGCATCTTGGTCCGGACCAGCTCCAGGGGGCTGATCACCGTCACGGCCCCCACTGCAGACCGCCGGGGAGTCAAAAAACAAAACAACCCCGTTTGACACCCTGAAGTTGGGACATCTAGCTGCGTTAACAAAAAACAAAAACGGACTTACGTCTGGCCAGACCGCCGGCCACGAGGGGGACGAAGCTGCCCTGGAGACCCAGACCGGACCGCAGGAAGTCCCGCAGCTGGTCGTAGCAGGTGAAGTAGATGACGGTGGCGGGAACGGCCATGACTCTGCACACGCACAGGAAATACTCTAAACATAGCAACACTTACACGGGAGCTTTTCTGTTTGGTAAAACACTCACTATGGAGAAGGACCTCAAACAACCACACATCAAACTGCACCTTTTCTCAAAATGTGGTTTTCATTTCAGAAAGAAATCTATTATTGGGAAACACTTTGTATATTTCATCTCTGGCCAACCTGAATACAAGCAGTTAGAACATCTGATGAGAGTTTAGACACTCACAGCGTTGGAGGAAGTCCGCTCCACAAGGACCGGAGCCCTTCGTGTCGAGTGATTTTCACAAACGCATCCTGTGGAGCGACCAGACCAACATTCAGCACGCGCTCATTCATTTTGTGGGTAAGAAGACCAGCAGAATTCAAGCTGCAGCTGCTCATTGTACTCACGAGCGTGCCACTGAAATGCGTGGGGGTTTTGTACCAGCTGGTGCAACTGGTTCTGTTCTGACACACGTAGATGTGATCCATCAGTCCATTACAATACAGGAAACATTTCCCTGAGAGACAAAGAACCCGGAGGTCAGCGACGGGTCAATACAGATAACAGACAAACCACCAAGAACATCAGTCTGAATATTGGCACGTTTCACAGTGTAAGATCCAAGAGCGGATTAGTGACACATGTGACGGCAATGACCACAGAGTCACCGAGAGGATAACCTGGGGGCCGTCCCTGCCACGGCCACTGTGTATTGACCCAATAAAAACAAACAAACACAAAGAAACTAAAAAAAGACTCATTTCACAACATGCTCAACATACTACAGATGTGGACATTTTGCAGGTAACAAGGACACAACATCAACTACTAAAGTATCACACGTGAGAGAAGAAGAAGAAGTGCCGTGGCAATAAAATGTTCTCTAAACAAACAACCGCCGGCACACAACCAACAGATACAAGCGAGAACAACAATGTGCACATGCAAGCTGCAGGAAAACGGGTCAATCCATTTGCTAAAGCGGTGAATTTTGTTTTCATGGCTTGAGATGCTTCTCAGGTGAGCACACGGAAAGTTGTGTTGCGTTTTTTGTTAACAACTGTGCGCGTGTTTCAGCACGCGGCGGCGGCAGGTCGGATACTCACACTTGGAAGGGCGGATGACGCCTCCCCACGGAGCGGATTCACGGGCTAAAGCTGCGAAACAAAGCCAGAAGCAGGACGGAGAAAGGCAGAAAGAAACAAAAGGACACGTGTTGAGGGGTTAGAAAAGCTTCCAGATACACACAGGAGGGGGGGGCGACACTCAAAGCAGCTGTTGTGATCTCAAACCACAGAAGAAGAAGACAGGCTCCTCGACCTACCTTGGTGGAACGGGGTTTGCTGAGCCTGCAGCCTGATCTTCACAACGTCCAGCGGTGTGACTGCAAGCAAATTATTACAAATTACAAATTATCATTTCTTGTGTTCGACTGATTTGCATTTTTTTAAGTCTTTGTTTTCATGAGCTCACCAAAAATAGATGTGAGGAGGGCTCCAGTGCCAGAAGCCAGCATCTGCTGCACGGGAGAGATCGCAGCCCCGGAGCCGCCGGGCCGCTCGCCCATCCTGCCACCTGCCAGAACCAAAACAGACACGCACAGTGAGAAGGGCGACCCAACAATAATGGAGGTTAATGAAGACAATACGTCAGTGTTTACTCTAACCCATTAGAAAAGCCCCCCCACCCTGAAAAGGTGTGGAATACATTTTTTATTAACGTTTTTGTTAGTTTCCCATGCGAGGCAGAGGCAGAGAGCAGAAACAACCCCCCCATCCAGGTGTAAACACCAAGTATTGTGCTTCAGAAAGTGAAATGAAGGATCACTACATGATTGCACAGTAAAGTCGGCGCCTGGTCAAAGTCGAGGCGTAGTTGTTACACAGCGGCCATACAAACGTTACGATAGCTTATCTCGGAGGTGCATGTCGCAGCCAGTCAGAGCCTCACCTCCCCTCCTCATCGAGGGAGGGGGCAGTTTAACAATGATATGGAGCTAAACCGAATGCAGATGGGGGAAGAAATGCCCCAAAGAAAGCTGAAGTGGTTTGTGTTTTTAGCCTAGGAGGTTGCTGATGGATACGTTTATGTTTTAATGTGTCCTGGTTCAGGAAGTCACCATTTGCTCACCTTGTTACTGTATTTTACTGAAGGATGAAGCCATTTGGCCCTCAAAGTTTTGTCCACCAAATAATCTAAATAACTACAGTCCAATCACTTAGTTACACATCGTTCAACAACTGTGCTACACTCAACGAAATTAATTTACTTATCATATGAGTGTCAATGTTCATCTTACATATACATAAAATGACGTATACGTTATTTTCAAACGATGCATTTTTGCACCACGTTAATTGTCTCGCACCAAATCCCACGTGCACCCGCACACAATGAACGGAGAGGACGGAGAGGACGTCCCGTCACCAGTGGATTAAATGACCTTCATCGTGCCTCACTGAGGGGAGAACTAAGGTTAGATGGGCCGACAGGTGGGAAACAGCAGCGCTAACGTTAGCTTACGTTATGTTACACTGCGTCCGCTTCTGTCACCACCGTTCACTCAAACACAATGAAATCAATTAAATCTTAATCGGCATTTAAGGAAGCGCACACGTCGGGTTCTACGCCATTGTGCCAAACGTGGTGAAATGCACATCGTGTCACGTTAACTTTACGGAAGTGCCAACATTTAAGTGGCATTTAGCTTGTTAGCTTGCTACGGTTAGCTGGCGCGGCTAACGAAACAGCGTTGCCTGAAAAGCTAACGTTAGCTAGCTTAGCTGCCCAGCTCCATTGCAGCCATCGTTACTCACCTCTACTTTATCTGACAGTGTCGTTGTGAAACAGAAGCGCCTTCTCCCATTTCAGAAAGCAGCGCTAACGTTAAGCCACGCGGTCGCGCTGCAACGTATTCGGGTTCTTCGTTACGGAAAACATGCTTTTGTAATCAGGCTAAATCTCGAAAGGGGCAGTTCGGTAAGTGAACGCACCCCCGCGCGAGCCCTAGCGCCGCCTCGTGGACACGTCACTGTAGTGCGACGCAGCTGGCGCACGTAAACAAGTTTAAGTGCGTCAGTCACAAGCGACCTCAAACTACTTCATTCCACTTATATCCATATATATAAAAAGGCTAGATGTCTTACGGCGTAGTAAAGAACGTGACGGCCACATTGGTACGGTCACCTCGCTCACCCAAAACATTGCGTTTGTTCAACATTTCTTGATGTAAAGGGAAATCTTGTACCTATTTAGGAACATTATTCCATTTTTTAGAACATAACATAATTATTCAAATTATGTATGCAGTGTCATAACTAATATCTATCTCTGACGTTTATAACAAACAAAACCGTTTAAAAATACGTTGAAAATTGAGCAAGTCAAGGTTATTTAAAACGTACATGATGCATCACTACCAAAACAATGTTATGGGTGCGCGAGCTGACCGCACCAAGATGGCCGCCACGTGCGGACGTTCGACTCTGTCGCAACGCGGACGAGACATCTAGCCTTTACATATATATCTATGGTTATATCAATTCAATGGAAAAAAGAAGAAGCAGGTTTTAGCAGAAAGCAGGGCTCGGTCGCTCTCTCTCCCTCGCTCTCCCCCCTCGCTCTCCCCTCCCTCTCTCTGCACGGGGTGTGTCCACACGGAGCAAGTCTATCGTTGGCTTTATTTCGTGATGAGCCACTTGTGAAACACTTTTCCACTAACAGCAGCTCCTCAGCCTTCTACTATGGTAAGAGCAAAATTACATTATTCCCTTATCTTTTCAAATGTGATACCTTACTTGTTTGGTAAATAAATCATTTGAGTGACTTGTAAACATATTTGGCAACGATCTGTGCACGTTTGCAGTATTTACTACTATGTATTTACTACACTGTCTTGATTAAATTGGATTAATATTTTCGTGTAAAACCTCCAAGGGTTTTTCCTCCCAAGCAGCCCGACCACCCTCTTTTCTTATATGCAGGCTAAACGAAAATGAAAGTGCATCCCATTGTGTTTTATTCTCTAAATGGTTGCGATAGAAAGATACCAATAAGGAACAAACCCCCAAAAGAGAATTACAATTTCAGGAAATGAAAACAGTTGAGTATCACATTCATTTGCATTTTCTTGTTTTTAACTGTAGCTGTGACTAAAGTTGTGAAAATCCCCAACAGCCATGATTAGTTCATTCACACATGAATGAGCGTAAATCTCTGTCTTACAGGTTTTGGCAAATAGTTTCAGCAGACATCATTTCTGATATACACATATACATCTTATTTGTGTGTGTGTGTGTGTGTGTGTGTGTGTGTGTGTGTGTGTGTGTGCAGATGCAGATGCAGGTGGTGATCTGTTTGGCTCTCGTGGCTCTCGTTGGGGCTGATGAGTGTCCGGATGGAGGGAGATGTGAAGACGGTCACACCTGCTGCAACGACCCGGCCAACGGCTACGAATGCTGCCCTCTGGATCAGGTAGCCGCGGTTGCCCCACGTGAGGTGTAACGCGATAGGGACAGATACTAGAGCGCTCGCCCTGTGAAGTGATCGTACGTTTTGGAATTGACAATATGAAGCAAGGGAAGTTTTCACAGGGCAAATGATGATGTTTCAATGTCATTGCATCAACTGTTGCTGCCCTTGAGTAACGTAAGTAAGGTTGGTAGCGTGTTAGATATGTTAGATATTCAAAATGTTCATTGAGGGCAACCTGCAACGGTTCATTGGCTTTGCTGATACTGTGTGCACACATATCCCATTTACATGTTTATATTCTTTGTCTTGTAGACTCACAATAAGTGTTCCAATAAAGTACTTACACTTCAGTAGAATAGTTCCTTCGGTCCACCCCATAGTAAAATGTAAATGCAAGATAACGCAGGTTGTGCTGAAGGGCTGAACAGTGGTACCGTTCATGCTCGGTGGCGTTTTACCACTTTATGAACCAGATAAAAGCTCAGGCTTCGTTCGGCCAGCGTGATAGCGCTGTTAGAGCTTTGCCAGTCAAAGTGCCGGTACTACCGCCGTCCCCTTGTAGGCCGAGTGCTGCGGGGATCACGCGCACTGCTGTCCTGCCGGAACACTCTGCCACGCAGCCACGTCCAGCTGTTTGAACACCACCGGCTCCGTCCCCTGGGTGGAAAGATCCCCCGCGGATCAGCCCGGACTCTCCAAGGTGAGAGTGACAGACGCGCGTCGCTGAGAGTGAGAGTTTTTGACATATTGAACGCCCGAAGCCCCCCCCTTTCCCCATCATGTCCCGTCCTGTCCCTGCAGTCCTTCAGGATGATCAAGTCGTCCGCGGGGGAGGAGGACGACAACATCTGTCCCGATCTGTCCCGATGCCCGGCCGAGTTTTCCTGCCTGAAGGCTTTGACAAAGTTTGGCTGCTGTCCGTTAGCTCAGGTAATCCATTCACGTTACACGTGATGCCGCTTGTTCCAACAGCTCATGGTCAGACAAGAAAAAACAGATTATTAAGGGAGGATATATTTCCTACAGATGTGTTTAATAATGTTAATGTGTGGTGATTTTCATTACAGTCCAACACTAGATTACCTTTGTGCAACCTCTCATCCAATATGTTTACCGTACACGTTCCCTCCTACAAACCCCTAAATATGAATAATTCAATAATAATTGAATTAATATGCTTCCATCCTTTTCAAGTAATGGTGCAGTTACCGGGGTAAAAAGGTAACTACTTAACAAAGTCAGTCGATGAATTCTTCTTTCCAAGGAAGTGACACGTGATCATTTGAGTGACAGTAAAACATGGACAAAACTACGGAGCCCATGGTGGCGTCCGTTTGTGAACCGCTCAGACAGGAACACTGGTGTATTATGTGTTCATATGTCACGCAAAATATGAGGATAACAGGATTGTTGTTTTGGCAAAACAAGCATTTTTCGATTCACTGGAGGAAACAGGAAGTACGTTGTGCTGTTTCTGCAGCTTTCTTCATTTCACGCTGACTCTGTTGCAACTGTAGACGTCTTAACTCCTGCACCTATCGGGGGTGAAGCGGTTAAGATCGAACACTTAAAACAAGTGATTTTGTGACCCGTGGCAGGGAGTCCCCTGTTCCGATGGGAAACACTGCTGTCCTGAGGGCCACCAGTGCAGCGCAGACTGCCGCTCCTGCATCAAACAAGGTGAAACGCCTGTCCTCGCGGTACCAAAGCCTGCTGCTGCACCGCGTGGGAGACGGTCCGGGACTAAGCGCCAAACTTCTCTCCCCTTTCTTTTGCAGAGCTTGTGACTACAGTTCTGTGCAAGGATGGAGTGTCAGAGTGTCCGGATGGAACCACCTGCTGTGAAAACCCAGATGGAAAGTGGGCCTGCTGTCCCCTGCCGAAGGTTCAAAGTGGCTAATCTCTCTATCATAGACCTACGCAAAAAGGCGATAGCTTTGAAATTCCAAAAGTGCAATTAAGATTAGGAATGAGGAGAAAAGCCAAATGGTAGATTTGCATGTCCGGTTATCTGGACTTTGTGTCGTCTTATCCTGTGTGGCTCTGAAGGAGAAACTCCTGTGTGTCTGCATTGTCCAAACAGGCCGTGTGCTGCGAGGACAAGACGCACTGCTGCCCTGAAGGGACCACGTGTGATGTCGAACACAGCAAATGTATTTCCCTGTTTACCAAACAGGAGTTGCCTATGTGGGCCAAATCGCCTGCCAGGTTGAGAGCGGACTGGGAGAACCCGAAAGGTCAGATCCTTTGTGCTTCTGCCGGCAGTTCCTCGTTTGGATTCATTAGCGTGTAAGTGTGTGTGTGTGTGTGCCCTCGTTTATACAGACCGGTTTCCTCTTTCAGAACAAGTCACTTCAAAAACGGCCGTTGAAGTCACCACAGTGACTGCAGTCAGTCCCACCGAGGAAGAACCGTCGCTCACCAAGCCCGCTGCAGACGCGATGTTTCCCATGCATTTAGGTTTGTCCAACGAGGTCCAACACCGCAACACAACATGTACCACGAGGTGCACAGAATGAGACCGGGTGCATGAGTCGAATGTGCAAAACAAAAAGCTCGCCTTGTTGCAGCAGACGCGTTAACGCTTTAACGCCGCTGAATGAGTGCTAACATTAGCTCACCGCGCACCACTGTACCGGAGGTAATGGTTAACAGTTCAGCGATTTAACCATTCACCACGACCTCGCTGGCCTCATTTAAACGTCAGCGTCCTGCTCTGGTCCCCTCACATGATACCCAGTTCCTGGTCCAGCGCCCGACTCCAGCTTAGTGCAGCACACCTGGAACGGCTACACAGTTGCAGCATTCCGTGCGTGTGAAAAACGTCTGAAAGCTGCAACCGAGTACAGCAGCGTTCCTCGCCCAGGGTTCAGACATGAAGGGAACTTTGCTGTTGTCTTTGCAGGCGTTAGTGTGGCCTGTGATGCCACAGAAGCCTGCGCAGGTAACAGCACATGCTGTATGACCCCGGAGGGCGGCTGGAGCTGCTGCCCACTTCCAGAGGTACAAAGAAGCTGCCGTTTCTATTGCAAAGTCCTTTTATTTTATAGATGATCATATTTAAATGAGTGGGGTTCGTCTCTCCGATCATATCAGGCTGTTGACTGTGAGGATTCAGTTCACTGCTGCCCAAAAGGGCGAAAATGCAACCCGGCCACCCAGGCCTGCGATAGCGAGGGATGCTCTGTGCCGTGGCTCCAGAAGGTGCCCACAATCCCCAGACTACAGGTGGGGAATGTGTCATGTGACGCCACCCACCAGTGTTCCGACGGCACCACCTGCTGCAAGACTGCAACACAGGAGTGGGCCTGCTGTCCTCTTCCCGAGGTAAACGCAGACACTGGTTCCACCTTCTACGTGTGCAGACAGTCGCAACAAGCGTTTGACCACTCTTTGCACTCGCTGATCCTCTCTCCTCATTCCAACGCGTACATCCAGCAGTGTTTGCGGCTGAAAAGCTTTATGGTCCCTTTGTTCAAAAGGCCGTCTGCTGCGACGACCACGAGCACTGCTGCCCGACCGGCACCACCTGCGACCTGGCCTCGCTCAGCTGTACCGGCGCCTCGGGCTCCACGCCCATGATGCCCAAGACGCCCGCGTTCGTCACGGCGGGCCCTTTCCCCCAAAGCCGGGCAACGATCACCAAGGGAGAGGAGGCGACGAAAGCGCCGGAGGAGGACGAGGTGGTTCAGTGCGACTCCCGCACCAGCTGCCCTCAGTCCAACACCTGCTGCTTCATGGCCGAGTCTCAGAAGTGGGGTTGTTGCCCGCTGCCGAAGGTAAGCAGGGACCTCCAGCAACTCGCCATCCTCACCTTCAAATATGCAACAATGTTTTCTACCACCTGGAGGCATGAAATGTCCATCACAAAAAATACTGCAAACAGGGAGCTGCTCTGATAGATTCAATGGTTTTTAACAGCACATAAGGTAGTCGGATGCAGTTGTGAGGACATTTAATGGTTTTATTCATTCAGTCAGTAAATATTTTATATTGTTATAACTGTTTTACTATGTATGATCTGTCTTTACACTATAATACACTGAAGGCTTAATTTATTAACAGGTTTAATATGAACTCTATAACTAAATAAATGTTTGTGAACAGTTTAAAATGTCAAAGGAAATTGGTTTATAAAGATGTGAGTTTGAGAAAAGCAGCAACGCTCCAAATGTAAAATATTTTAGTTTCTATACTTGCATACATGTATATGACCAGCAGTAGCTTTCACCAGACTTTATGTCACACTCATTGCTCCCATTGCAGAATTGATCGTTTCTGCACTAATCACATATCGGCGGTCAAGCAGCCAGCTGAGATTTCTGACTTTGGAAACAGATTGCCTTTTACGTCCAGAACCTGCTCAAACACCAAAAGTACAAATGACACTCTGGTGTAGTAGTTCCTCTAATGCAGTACATTTTTTATAGTTAATGCACTCAGATGTTTGCATAGTCCTTCATTTGGTACTTAAAAAGAAGAACTAAGAAATGGTATCGCTGATGTGAAACTAGCACTTCCACCCCCACCTCCTCCCCAGGCCGTTTGCTGCTCCGACGGGAACCACTGCTGTCCCACGGACTACACGTGTGACGTGGAGAAGACCACGTGCACCAAAGGGGAAGTGGTGATCCCCTGGTACACCAAGCTCCCGGCCAGCGCCAGCGTGGAGGACGATCCCGCCTCTGTGCAGTGCGACGGGCAGGAGCAATGCCCCGACGACAACACCTGCTGCCAGCTGCAGTCGGGCGAGTGGGGCTGCTGCCCCATGCCAGACGTGAGCGCTGAAACACGGCACAAGGGTTTGATTCAAATAATAAAAATGAACACAACGGGTGTCACCTCCACCGACCTTGTGCGCGCTTGCGTCTGTGTCTGCAGGCCGTGTGCTGCCCGGATAAGGTGCACTGCTGCCCGCAGGGCTACACCTGCAACATGGCCTCCAACTCCTGCCAGAAGCTCCTCATGCTGCAGCTGCAAGCCGTCCCGCTGACACGGGTGTATCTGCCCGAGGCGGAGCCCACGTCGAGTCCCTCGGAGCAGGGCGACGTGGTGTGTGATGATCAAACCAGCTGTCCCGATGGACAGACCTGCTGCAGGACCTCGGCCACGACGTGGGGCTGCTGTCCAGCTCCCAATGTACGAAGAACGCTCGTAACGTCAACCAAGTTTGACTTATTCACATTTGCTTTCTATGCAGAGCGTTAGATGTAAAGATGGACACCACTGTTTAGCTTAGCTTAGCTTGGCACAAAGACTGGAACCAGCTAGCCTGGCTCGGATCAAAGGGAATAAAACCAACTTACCAGCACCTCTAAAGTTCATTTCATCTCATGTGCACAGACGTGAGTGTGGTGTCAAACTTTTTTATTGCATACTGAACTCAGGTATAATAGTTTAAGAATCTAACTAATAGTGTGTAGTGAGACATACTACTTTAGATTTACTGCTAATACCTTCGTCCTTTTCTTCAGATACATTTTAAATGCTGCTGTTCACATGTAATAGACTCTCCCCTCTCTAGCGCCTCTCTGCTCCAACCCCGGGCAGCCAGAGTTGCTCATGTCTCACTTCCTGCGTCCTCTCCACAGGCGGTGTGCTGCAGCGACATGCAGCACTGCTGCCCCGAGGGCCACACCTGCACCGAGACCGGAGGCTGCACCGGGAACAACGTCCCCCACTGGCACAAGTGGCAGGTGTTCTTCAGCAACAAAAAGAGATCCCTAATTAAGTGAAGACCCTCCACCCCCGCACTGCCATTTGATTCTGCAACGTGCACTCAATGGAAATGACGTAGAAGGGATTTTATTTGTGGTGAAGGGGATGCTGAGTGCATTGCACGATGGGTTATGATGTTCTGCAACTACCACTACACGCCACAACATCAGGGCATTTACCTTTTAACGACTCTTTTTCAAATTCAGCCTTGTTATTCCTTGTTATTGAATATAACTTCCATCCATTAAATACAATCCACTGGCAATGTGATTCTCCTTTTGTGTGTTCTGCTTCAGCTGCTTTGTACTGCCGGGCACTTCATCAATAATTAGTCACAATTCAGGGCATGATTTTATCATTTTAATTATATGTGATTCCACCTCATGATGGGCGAGTCCTGTTTAATGCTGTTTTCTACTACTTCAGATTTGGAAGATAATGGAATAATCTGTAATGAGTTATTGTTTTGATTTTGTGCATGTAGTCATCCATGTTAATTTGGGATTTCAAACACACAATGACGAAAAAACGCAAGTACACTTGAGGCTTTATCTGCATGAAACTAATAAACAGGAAATGTGTTACAACATCACCCACTCCAAATCATTTTATACAAAATACGATGTTAATTAAAACATAAATTTCTGTGAAAAGAAAGGAAGGGAACATTCCCAACACCATACCAGACATTCCTCGTAGTGTTTCCGGGAGGGATTTTCGTCGAAGGGTTTTTTATTTGGGATTATCGGACCTGCGTGAGCAGTGTGAAACTCCAAACATTATACATGACATTTACGATTGCCATTCGCAATAAAAGTCTACAAAAAATGTTGTAAAACAATACTGGGATCACACATTAAACGTTACAAATGTGTGATCTGAAAATTTGTGCCAAAGAAATAAAGCTTCAGGTTTAGGTCTGCGATAACTAATACAAACATAAACTTTTTCAATAACTCCTGTTGTGTCATGGCCATATCCTTGGATATATTAGTTCATTGATTAAAAAAAGAAATCTTCTAAAATATTATGGTAAAAGTATTATAGAAAAAATATGTTTCAATGAATCCGTCCATGTATTTGCAGTACAAGAGTGGTGAGCGCCGCCAGATGAGTATTTTTACTTCAGTAACATTTAATCCAGTATTACTTATAATGATATTCTAATTGTAACAACAAGAACCACATTTGATAATATTGCACTTTAAAAAACAAATGGTTCAAATTGCTTGACAAGGCCATATATACAGATGCGTCGCCACACATGAGAAAAACAATGGGACATAAATAATATTCTTCATAAAACGCATTTCCAAATTTAAAACGATCTGACGGTGTGATGAACTGTTTTGAACTGATTTGCACGTAATGGGCGCTTTTATTTTGAAGAGGAACCCCGCGCTTCCGGCGCCGTCCTGTACGCTTCGCGTGTCTCGAGTGAATCATTCTTCCCAAGATGGCGTTACACCTGCTCCTCCCGCGGGGATCCCCGCTGTGAGTCCCCGCGACGCCAGCAAAAACAAACCCGCCGGGACCAGACGGCCCCGCGAACCGGAAACCAAGCTAAACGGCCGGACTCGTGATTAACCGCCACTTCTAAAAAAAATAAATAATAATAATGTCCACGGAGGAGCTGTCGGCCTCGGACAGCGAGGCCGCCTTCGCCGGGGAGCGATGGGCGCCGGTCGGCGCCGTGGCCAGCCCGGAGGACGAGGGCGACCGGGGGAGCCCCGGCCGGCCGAAGCGCAGCGCCTCGTCCCCGGCCACCGACGAGGAGATGGCGGTGCGCCTGGAGAAGCTGGAGGAGGAGCAGCACCTGCTGAACTCCTCTCTCCTGGCGCTCACCTCGCACTTCGCCCAGGTGCAGTTCCGGCTGAAGCAGGTGGTGCACGCGCAGGCGGAGGAGAAGGAGCGCATGCTGGCCGAGCTGGAGGAGTTCGCCTTCCGCGGCTGCCCGCATGTGGTGGGCTGCCGGACTCAGGACGCCGGGCAGCTGGAGAACTCGGTGAGGCCTCGCGTGTCCCTGTTAAACGTAGCGATGCACGTCCAGGTGTGTTCTACGTCCAACAGGTGTCTGGGAAGAGATGAGGTCATTAACGGAAACAAGCAATGCTCTGATCTGTTATTGTTTGAAGGCAAATACCGCTTCCTGCCTGTTCACTTTAATTCTCATCAGTCAGTCCTTCTCTTAATGCTTGACCTCCATATTTTGCGGTTTAAATGTAATATTTGAAAAAAGTGTTTCTTTGACAACCAGTAATTCCATAATAAAAAATAAGCTAATTGTCGGATCTATAAATAATCAAAAGGTCAGTGTTGATGCTTCAAGAGATATCTGACCCCTGTCAGCATCCACTCATCTGCATCTGACCCACAGCTGGAGACACACGCGTGTAAATGCACGGATATGAACACTGACATGCACAGTGAACTCAGACCTGTGAGGTCCCCGGATTAAGACTGATCTGAGGCTGGTTCCTCCGCACCACTTGTGTTCCCGTTGATCTCTCAATACGTGGCCGCAGCCTCGATGAAAAAAGGCCTCCAGCAGGTTGCGTTCGGTTCGATAACGAAGGGTCTCTGTGCACACAAACGCGTTGTTTCCTCACAGCTTCTTTACATTCAGTCTTAACCAAAAGATTTTTACTTCAGTTATTTGTAAATATAATCGCCACCCTAAAGGTGTCTTTGTGTCATTTCTCCCTTGTCGCTTGCCTGACCTGAAGGGAGACCTGGTGAGTATGACGCCTGTTGGTTTATGTGTTTTTGTGTAAGTGCAGAAAGCGCCGCCGAGTATCTGACGAATCAAACGGTTGAAAAAAGGTAGAATCGAAAGTGTTGATTGTCCAGGAGACGCTGTAAGAATAACAACCAGTGTGTGTGTGTGTGTGTGTGTGTGTGTGTTTCTCCTGTCAGACTGAGAGGGAGAAGAGGGAACGCCTGGAGGCTCAGAGGGAAAAACAGAAGGATCTCATTCTCCAGCTGAAGACGCAGCTGGATGATCTGGAGCGCTTCGCCTACCAGGAGGGCAGCTACGACTCGCTGCCGCAGTCCGTCGTCATGGAGAGACAGAAGGTGCGGCCGCGGAAGACAAACCCACGTTCCGTAGCTCGCCGCTGGGTTGGAGATGCGTGGGCTCGCGTTGACGCCAAATTACATACGACTTCCGTGCGTTTTCCTGTTTCAGATCAGGTGTTGCGAGTCCCCAAACGCTTCAGGCTCGAGTGTTTTTCATTACGATCTTTTCAAAAACGTGTTTCTGTTTCTACAAAATTGAATTTGAATGCAAACCAGAAGTCCACCACCGCAAATGGATCTTCTACCTGTGGGAGACGCAAAGTCCGTTCTCTAACCTTCAGCCCGCCTGTACAATCTTCAGGTCATCATTGACGAGCTGATCAAGAAGCTGGACGTGAACCTGAACGAGGACATCGGGAACTCGTCGCCCGAGGAGCTGCGGCGGAGGGTGGACGCCGCCATCGCTCAGATCGTGAACCCAGGCCGGGTCAAAGAGCAGCTGGTGGATCAGCTGAAGACCCAGATCAGAGACCTGGAGATGTTCATCAACTTCATCCAGGGTACGCGGCCATTCAAGTGGATACGAATCCCCCGACTCTGCAGTCTCTTTATTTGTTTTCATTTCACTTTATTTAATTATTATGCTTTTCTTTCCCCAAAGACGAGGTGGGGAACCCCCTCTTATCAGACGGTGGACCCAGCCAGCAGCCACGAGCATCAGGAACCAATACCAGAGCTCCAGGAGTGAAGAACGGTCAGTCCGTTCGTATCAGTTCACATTTTTTGTAAAAAAACCCAGAAGATTTGAGGTTTTAAGATCTGGCTGAAACTGCCCCGTCTTCAGAGTGACGACCTATGTGTTTGTTTTTAACGATGTATTTGTCAGCTCTTTGTAAAGGTCCAAACAAAATGTCATTTTTCACTCGTCACTTTGTCACTTGTTCGCTAGTGCACTTAATTTTTAATATTTTAAATTTTTAAACTAACTTTATTCTTATTTTATACTAACCCATAGCCTTATTCTTCTAACCCATAGCCTTATTCTTCTAACCCATAGCATTAGCATTTTATTTTATTACTTGTTGTCTATTGTTACACTGTCTACTGTTACGCACCAACCGCCAAGACAAATTCCTTGTATGTTTGACATATTTTGGCAATAAATGTTTCCTGATTCCTGATTCCTGAACCCCCTGCGTTGTCCAGTATAAGTATGTTCTCGTGGCCCTCCACCTCTCTCTGCAGTGGACCCGGAGCAGGCCCAGAAGATGCGAGAGACGGGCCTGCAGCTCATCCAGAAGGCCCTCGCCGTGCTGCAGATCTTCGCCGCGAGCCAGTTCGGCTGCGCGCCCGGCCACCTTCCTCAGAACGTGTGGCCCCAGGAGTCCACGCTGCAGGACTACGGGCCGCTGCTGCGGCGCCTGGAGGCGGCCGTGGACAAGGTGCGGGTGCTGGGCTCGTGCAGGCAGCCGTCCCTCGAGCACGTCGTCAACTACACCAGCAACACGGCGCTGGGGCCGCGCGACGAGCTGACGGCGTCGGTGAGGAAGGAGCTGGCGATCGCCCTGAAGGACCTGCTGTCCCACGGCCTCTTCTCGCCCTCCCAGACCATGAGCCTGGTGCTGGCGCCCATCTCCTGCCTGCTGCCTTACACCCCGGCCCCACAGACCATGCACCCGTGGGAGCTCTTCGTCAAATACTACCACTCGAAAAACGGGAAAGCCTTCGTGGAGACGCCGGCCCGCCAGCTCTCCCAGTCCTTCAGCCTGCCCGTGGCGGGCGGCCCGGTGACCGTCACCCCTAAACAGTCCCTGCTGTGGGCCGTTCACACGGTGCTGAAGGAGCACGGACGCTACAAGCGAGGACCCGACACGGAGTTCAAGGCGCTGGTGTGCATGGCCCTGAACGAGCAGCGCCTGGTGTCCTGGCTCAACCTGCTGTGTAAGTCCGGGACCCTGGTGCACCCGCACTACCAGTCCTGGAGCTACATGGCCCAGACCGGCTTCGAAGGAGCCCTGCGCATCCTGGGCCGCATCAGCCACCTCAAATTCGACCTGCCGGTGGACCTGGCTGTGCGGCAGCTGAAGAACATCAAGGATGCTTTCTGAGGAGGCGACGCGTCCGGGAACGCCGGCGGAAACGTCGGCCTCAGGAATCGAGCATTTTACGCGCTGAACTACACCGCTCTTACCTGTCGATCAGGACCTCGACGTGACTTTGTGCTTTGACTATGTAGCCTTTCTTTTTAGAGGTTATTTAAGTAGCAACCCATCTTAAGTGAAGTGCAAGTGTGTGATGTCTTCAGTCAATGCATGGATGATAATGTTGTGTGAGCTTCAACCATGATGTCCACTTTGTTTAAGATGCCAAAATGACACCGCTGCACGTACTGTAAACCTGCCTTAGGAGCGACGTTTAGAGAAGCCTTCCTGAACCTTTCGACCTGTGCTCGTATCTTTACCCTGTGGACACGGCCGCGTCCCGAACCTATGCAGCTCAGAGAGGGAGGCGTGTACAGTATTCAGTACTGTAAGTGAGACGATCCTGCGCGGCCCGGAGAGCATCGTGAAGTGTCTGTGACTTCTGTTGGTGATAAATCCCGTGTAGCAGATCGGTGGCTCTCTTGATGCACGTTGTGTTTCAGGTGTGTCGGACCCTGTATGAAGTGCTGCTTTTCTCCTTTTCCAGGTGTAGTTGGGATTCGAAATAAATGGCAGTGACATTGTACGATGAGAATGATGCACTGGGTTACATCCTGTATGTATTGTAGAATATAAAAGGCTTTGTTTCCTGTTACAGACAACTTGGTTTTTGGACCTTCCGGAGACAAAAGAGCTGTACGAATGATATCCTTAAGTACTGAATGTTCAAACCACAGATGCTATTAACCTGAGGTTTAGTTTGTGTGTTGACCTGCTACTACTGCGGGACAGTGCTGCTGCATGTATGTGTCAACGCAATGATTGTAGGCGTGCTGACAAAAGATGATCGCTGCGTCGGTTTCCCTCGATAGAAACCCGAGCACTTTGTTACCGAAGTGCAACTAGAAACTCCTTTTTAGCATTTATTTTACGTCGCTGTGTAAATTGAAAGTTTATTTAGTTTTTGTGTAGTAAATATGCTGCATATTGTGTTTGTATTTTTGTTGGTCAGCTGTTTTGTTGTGATTTTGTGTCTAACATTTATTTATTAATGGCATGTTTTAACTCATCAATGAAGTATATTGAATATGTCAACACTTTGTGGAACTAGCTAGGAACACACTGGATTATTTAAATTATAATTTAATCACAAATAATATATTGAAAGATGTGAATTGTTTATTTTCCCCTTTATCATGTTCAATCATACCTACAGCTGTAAAAAATGAAACTTCTATACTGCTGTGAGTTTATTTTTCAAATTATCAAATTTCAACAAAACAAATTTTTATTTAAACAAATTTCAGGCAGAACGAGGTGGACCAAACATCCTCAACGCGACAACTATTGTGTTCCTTAAATGAAAAATACCTATTCATTCCTTTCAGTACATGGAAAAAAATAAAGCACCTTGATAATAAAATTAGTCAATTGTTTTGAATGAGTGAAATAGTTCTCCATTCTGCCGACTTGTGTACAATGGTTTATCGTGCCCCCTTTATATTCCCATTTGTTAGGGTAATTTACAAGACCTGAATGAGATATAAACGGTTTAATTATGTGGTGTATTTAAAATTGGTTATTATTTATTGAACACTATGCATTAATTACTATAATCCAATGTTACAATATGCGGTCTCAATTTTGGTATGATGATGCTAATATTTTTTTACTGTTACTTTTAGTATTTTTCACTGTGGCAGTGTTACTGTTAAAAAGAGTAAAAGATTTGAGTAGTTATTCCCCTTCTACTTTTAAATGCAGTGCCAAAAGTGACGTTACCTTCTCTTCGATCTAATTGGAATTAATTTTTCAAATTTATCAAATATGAATATCTACCATTTATTGCTCCATTTTAGATAAATGTATTAACAAAAGAAAAAAACACAAGCGAAAAACAAAAACTAAACCCGGAAGTGACGTAGGTCCATTGCTCGTGTCAAAGGTCAGAAAATCCTTCTCGGCTTCCTTTCCTGTTAGCGGTGTCCGTAGAACAGCATCAGTGAGTAAAATTTCCCTTCCAACAATCTCCTACCATCGCTCCTTATCGGGGCTATTTTACTGTTTTTATTGTCCCACACCTTCACCAACGAATTCCTTAGTTGAGCTCATACTGTTATTTTCGTATATTTGTCATGGACAAAGGGAGAAAATGATCGTTTATTGCAGCGCTTCGTCGCCGTAGCGCTCATTCCAACATGGCAGCTTCCAACACAACCGTCTTGTTAAAGGGGGCGAATGTGTGCGTTAAGACTGCGAAGTGTGTTGTGAAGTTTCAACACAAGTCAAATCCCTGCGAATAGTGTGTGTTCGAGTGAAATTAACTCATACTCCGCTCTGTAAAAGGTTTGCTAGCCCTCCCCTAGCCGAATGCTAATGCTAGCTTAGCCGGCTAACCGAGGCGGCAGCACCGAGCAGGGAACGTGTCCACACAACTTCAGCGGCGTGTTTCGGCGATGTTGACCTCGCCAATGTTGCTTGCGAGGCGACGAGTCGTCTGCAGCGACTCGGAGGTTTGACAAAAGTCTTTAATTTCTCCTCAGAAATGGGCAAGTTCATGAAGCCTGGGAAGGTGGTGATGGTGCTAGCAGGACGCTACGCCGGACGCAAAGCTGTCATCGTCAAGGTAAGACGCGTGGATGCGATGTGTCCGGTGCCTCCGCGGAGCAGCTCTTCATCACGCGGGCGCTCAACAGACGTGAACACGCCGTTTGCTCATCCAGACGGTTGGTGTGTCGCTTAAGCCCACAGCCACTTGTTGTTGTTGTTCTCCGCAGAATATTGACGATGGCACAGCCGACCGTCCTTACAGCCACGCTCTGGTCGCGGGCATCGACCGCTATCCCCGCAAGGTGATCACAACCATGAGCAAGAAGAAGATCGCCAAGAGGTCCAAGATCAAGGTCTTCGTCAAGGTGTTCAACTACAACCACCTGATGCCCACCAGGTCGGTGTCTTGTCTGCTCCTACTTCCTGTGAATGGCCGCCGTATTGTCTCTGGTGCTTGTTTTGGCAGCATAGAAATTACATTACATGTCATTACATTACATGTCATTTAGCTGACGCGTTTATCTAAAGGGACTTGCAGTGAGTGCATTCAATCATAGGGACACCGACTCTGCAGCTCAATTTCATCAAATAAGCCAATTCACAACTTGTTTATAGATAAGAACCATTATAAGTACAATTTAAGTGGTATGATTTGTTCATGAAACTAAACAATCTATGTCAACTTAACGGTGTAATGGATGAGTCAATGTGTAACATGGTTGATGCATTGATGGTAGAACACGATATTTTATAGCGTAGCGAATTGTGATGGTTTGTGACACAGAATCACATGTTTTAATTATTAATTAATAACTATGTTCCTCCCCAAATGTTGCAGTATTGTTTTTTAAAATTAGAAAATACTCCAGACAATTGAGTGTGAAAATGATTCAACTCCATATCCCATGGTGCATTTGGTTCAGAAAGGTTTTAAGTTAAGCTTGCTTGTTCTGATTTAATTCTGATCTTTCTGTTTCGTCTGTGGATCATATGTTTAAACGCGTATAACCTCGTCCCCTCGGCTACTCACTTCTTCAGTACGTTAATAAACATTTAACTGTGGGGACAGATGAGCTGAAATACACTTGAGTGAAAATATTGTTGTAGATGTTTGCTTACTGGCATTTAGACCTACGTTGTTTAACACATCTGTTTTTCACTTTTATAAAAGATATTAACTGTTTTTAAAGAATCATCCGATTACACTGAAGTAGTTTACACTCGCATGCAGAAGTTCTTTCAGCTTTCTCTTCCATTTGCTTTTGGTGTGACAAACTCTTGGGTTTAATTTCAGGATTGCAGTTACCGTATTACACGTTTTCTGGATCTAATTATTCCCGCTGAATAAGACCGAATAAGAATACTTAAACGTGCAAATCATTGTTTTGAACTGTAGTCGGTCTGAAATGTCAATATAAGCCGTTTTTACTCTGAAATCTGCAATGACAGAAAAACACTTGTTTATATTTAAATGATCCGTTTTACCAATCTGTTATAAAGTAACTCGTCTTTTTAATGTTCCCTCCAGCTGCTCTGTTTATTTGACCAACTGCAAAAAGATCATCTCTGCGGAGGGTTTAAATAACTTTGTTTTTCTGTGTTCAGATACTCTGTTGATATTCCTCTGGACAAAACTGTCGTCAACAAGGACGTCTTCAGGGATCCTGCCCTCAAGCGCAAAGCCAGGCTGGAGACCAAGATCAAGTTTGAGGAGAGGTGGGTCCTTGTTTTTACTCGGTGTGTAATGTGTTGCTTCTGGTGCAGTAACCCAGAGGGCAAACTGAGGCTTTATATGTGCTCTGTACAGTTTGAGATGTTGGTTAGCAAAGTCCTTCACATCAGCTGCTCTCGTATCGACGTTCCTCCGCTCAGTTCTGTGACGTTTTATTGCCTCAAATGTTCTAAACTTGTGTGTGTCTTCTGTTTTTCAGGTACAAGACTGGCAAAAACAAGTGGTTCTTCCAGAAGCTCAGATTCTAACTTCACCCGCTTTCACAAATAAATGTTTAAAAATGGATGTTTGTTTGTCAGTTTATTTTTCTAAAAGTACTACGTCTCCCAGTCGGGAGGATTATTGATCAGGCTCATGTGTTCCTTTTTTTTTAGAAAGTTTAACACACAACTTAAAATATTTCAGTTTGCTTTAAAAAAAATGATCCGTAAGTCACTGTTGTGATCAAACATTATGTGGTTTTGACTTAACTTAACTCAGAATGAGTAGATCTCAAATAAATATTGGTTTAACTGGCCAATGTTAATGTTAATGTTAGTATTTGTACATTAAGTGCAGTACACTCGTTCCTTGTTGAGGTAATTTACTGGTGTATTCAATCTTTTGTTGACTCCCAACGTTTATGTGAAAACTTAATTGGATTTAATTAATTAAATCCATTAATTGGACTGTAAAAAAAACGAAATACTTGTACTTCAAATTATCAGTTTAAGGTAATATCAACTCTTCTGCTATCAGTTTGCATAAGGAGTACTTTGACTTGGGTACATTACAGGTCATTTAGCCAACTCTTTTATCCAAAGCGACTTACAATAAACTTTTAACCCATGGCTTTTACATTTTGCCCAGGGAGCAATTAGGGGTTAGGTGTCTCTCAGGGACACTTTGACATTGGGAAGCCAGGACTCGAACTACCAACCTTGTGCTTCCCAGCGCATCCTCTGTACCGCCTGCGGCACGGCCCCCATGTACTTAACATACATTCATCCTTTGTGGTTTTACTTTAAGATGGAGTACTTTTAAGAAGATTTTTACTGTAGTGGAATTGGTAGTGGAACAAATACTTTCACACAATTAATCAACTGATCAATAAATGCAGCATTAGCTCGTATGTTTAGAAACCAGCAGTGTGAAGCTCTAGAAATGAGCTTCACCTTTAAAGTGATGAACACATGAATGATTATAATCCCAAAGTACATCTTGTAAAGTCCCGTGTGTACAGTGTTTAGTTTGGGGACTTGATGTAAATTGTGATAAATACTTTGGAACTTTGACCTTCTACTTGAAACAGAATACTTTGACTCCTGTATTTCAAACGGTACTTCTTACACCAGTGGCTTTGCATTTATTACAGCTGCAGGTTATTTGTATTAATGTTTCATTGAGTCTAATCATGCGCACTAGTTGACGTTGCGCAGTGAGATAAAAGAATAAAACTTTACAACTCTATAAATATTGTATTGAATTTCAAAATGACAATATTCCCGGCAGCCATCGAACGCAGCATCGCGAGGCCGCAGCGCCCCTAGTGGCGGAGCGAGAGACGAGACGCGTTCAGGGCCGCTGGTGAAAAGAAACCGAAAGAGAAAAGACTTCACGGCACAGATAGAACCGCAGGTAAATTATTCTCCGACAGTTTATTAATGTAGAGCTACACGACAAAGATTAATACACCATATTAATTCAAAGATGACAGCGACTCGGTCATAAGTCTATTTAAAGTTTCTATTTAAAGTTATTCTCGCGTCTTTAAAGACTGTTTGTGAGGCGCGAGACGGTTTGTTAACCTGAAAGGCCCGTGGCGGGTTTATATTAATGTTTATCATTTTAAAGCCTTTCTTACTCATTGACGTACATGTTAAGTACATTTTATAGAAGGACTGTGACTGACAGCGAGCAATAACTGGTGTGTTTTTATTTGTTCCAGATTACTTTCAGCATGTTTAACGACGAGGAGGTGAGACGTTCATGTTCTTCCTTGTTGTTAAAGACACACGAGATAAATATCTGGATTCTTCCTGTTCAATACTTTCTCTTTTTATTAAACGGCAGAAGTTCATTGCTGAGAAACAACAGGAGCAAAGCATTAATAGTACCAGCGCGTAGAAATACTTTGTAAAGTAAAAGTACTAAAGTATTCCCTTCAAAATTACTCAAGTTAGTTAGCAAAATCGTCCAATTTCAAAACAATATGTATTGCTGGATTTTAGACCGGGTATATCAAAAATATACTTAAACACAGTACTTCCACCACTGAATACTACTTGCATGTACAAAAAAGCGTCTGTGAATCAAACCCTCTGCCTCGTGATGCCTCATTCACTTGTATTATGCACATTTGCTTTTTCTACTCTTCATTAAATTGTGTGTTCTTGTGTTTCAGGACTTTTCTTTGGTGGTAGATGAAAAAACACCCTCCAAAGACAGCTTGGAGGACATCAAGGCCTCGATCGACCGCTACAAGGTGCACTAGTGAAGAAAGCAGATTGTACTTCATGTGAAAACACAATGCAAAGATTTAGAAAAAAACGCCCGCGTTAGAGATGTTACTCTACATCTAAATGCTATAATCCTACACAAGGTTTGTACCAATGGCCTCTTCTGATCCCAAATCAAGAAGTTCACGGTGGTGTCTGCATATGCTGGAGGTTTGATCACGTAGTATGAACATAATCCCGGTGATTAAACCATAATTAAGTAGGAAGTCAACACCCAATAATTGGTTGGCAATTGCCAAAACGTTTGTAAACGGTAACCCGGCAACCCTCGGTGTCAGACGCTGGCGTCCCTCCTCGCCTTGGCGAAGTTCACACGGTTAAAGCGCTGCAGAGACGAGACGTTGGTGAACTGTGTCCACAGAGGAGACACGAGCAGCTGATCCAGGAGCAGCAGGAGATCCTCATCCTCACGGAGCAGCAGAGGGAGACGACCCGCGAGTTCAGGCGGCGCTCCGACAGACTGCTCCAGGACCTGGAGAAGGACCAGCGCTCCTACGAACAGCAGATTGAGGATGGGAAGGTACGGCGCTCTGGGGAACCTGTTGGTTTTATTATCTGCTCAGGCTAAAAGGTAAAGTGTCGCTTTAGGTTGTGTAACATCAACGCATCATAAAGTCAAACTGTCCCAGGTGTTTTTCCATCAGCTGAAAAGGAAAAAACATGTGACGCTCATAAAGAAAATACATCCATATTCAAATAATTTGAATAAATGATACTGAACGGTTTAAAGTGAAGTACTTTAGTGTGTTAATACAATCATAAGACTTGGACTCCAAAACTAACAACAAGAAAAACAATATGTTTAACCAGGCGAAAACCTTCTCATAGACATTTATCATTTGTAAAGAATCAGCACATCAGCATCGCTTTCATAAACTCACTTGAGAAGATCCGTTTTTTCCTCCGTGGGATTTATAGTTCAACACATTTTTTATGTCTTTATCGTCCTGCAGGCCGAAGCCGTCCTGATGCAGCAGGAGGAGAAGGAGCTGCTGAAGGAGATCCAGCGGGTGGAGGAAGCTCTGAAGGAGGAAGATGCCCAAAACCAGCACCTGCAGCAGCAGGTCGAGGTGCGTCCGCCCCCCGTTTAAACGCGCCGCCACGCGGCCGGCGTTCGCTTCACCCGCACCCGTTGGGATTCCAGGTGTTCACCGCCGTACCGGAGAGGCCGGTGGTCTTCGTGGGCACGAAGGGGAGCAACGCCTTCCAGATGAAGTCGCGCGTGGTTTACCCGATGGAGGGCGGCACGGCTCTCGTTACCTTCGAGGACGAAGTGGGTGAGTTCCTCGGCCAGCTGATTACCCACAATTCATTTTCTCAAAAAACAATAAGTGATTCACGATTTATTGGCAGCTTTATTGATTTCATTTAGTTATAAAAGCTGTTTTTGACAACAAAAAAATAATATTTTATTTATTATTATCTCCTTTGAAGACGTTTAACACGTGGCGTCGCCATGGTTACGCGATGTCACCATTTCAAGTCTTTTCCAGCCTGTCACACATTCGGGGCGGGCAGCATGTCAGCGTGAGCACGTTAGCACGCTAACATGAGGGGATGCTAGCGTTAGCGGCCGCTCAGAGCCGTGTGGCGTCAACGGAGACATGTGATCCCGCGTTGCTTCTGTCCTCAGTGGCCAGTCGGATCCTGGACATGAAGGAGCACCGGGTGGCGCTGGGGTCCGAGTGCAGCATCGCTCTGGAGGCCCGGCGGGTTCAGCTGGTGCTGCCCCAGCTGGTGGAGGTAGGTGGAGATACACCTCCAGCTGCCCTCGAGGGAGGTTATTCGCGCGCTCACTCGTCCGCCTGCCCCCCGCAGATCGACTCCGAGGTGAGTCCTCGGCACATATTGATCTCCAACCTGCCCAAGATGGAGACGGAGACGCTGCTGAACAAGCTGGAGATCCACTTCTCCAAGAAGAGGCACGGAGGCGGGGAGGTGGAGAAGTGTGAACTGCTGCCCGACTCCGAGGACGTGGTCATCACCTTCGTGGAGAGCGACGGTGAGCATTCCACGCGCCGCTAGCAGGACGTGCGCGCCCGAAGGTGAGCTGTGCGTCGGTACGAATCCCAGCTGAGGAGCTCTGTCTGCCACCAGTTGCCAGAGGTCTGACGGAGAGAGAGCACCACCAGGTGGAGCTGCAGCGGACGGAGCAGAGCGTCCGGGTGACTCCCTTCCTCAACGGGACCATCACAGGCCTGCAGGTGAGCGTCGGTTGTGTCCTCGCCGCCACGTTGGAGTTGTCATTTTAACCCCCCCCACCCTCCCCCCACAGACCAGGGTGGCGGTTTGTCGGCGCACGGTGCTGCTGACGGGAATCCCAGGCGTGATGGAGCCGGAGAGCCTGCTGGACCTGCTGGAGATCCACTTCCAGAGGAAGGCCAACGGCGGAGGAGAGATCGAAGCCTTCCTGTACAACCCGCCGGGGGGGCGCAGCTCGGCCCTGTTCGAGGGCGTCTCCGCCGCCTGATGGGGGGGGGGGTTCATCGCCGTCACCATCATCTCAGGTTCGGGGCGAGATCATCGGATGGAGAGACAGCAAACTCCTTTTCCTCTTATACTCAACTTTGTTTCGTTTAGCACAAAGTCTTTTTTACCACTTTGTATTAAAACTTAAACTAAGAAATGAATGAATATCAAATCCAGTCATTAGAACTATGCAATAATTAATCAATTCAAGCAGTTCTACTATATTAAATGTACATAGCGAACTGTATCAGAGTATTGCTTTATTCTTTGGGGCGGAGTGCAATTAAACTATTAACAAAAAAAAAGATTGTTTTCTTCAGATTGGTATAAAAGTGAAATATTTCACTTGTATTCTCGTGGTTCATGTTGTGATTTATTTTGAAAAAGATGACCTCATTACGTGTCATAATCATATTTGTATCACACCATTATGCTATGCACCATGTTAATGACGGTTTTATGGCAAATACACACATGATGATTTATTATTAATCATAAATAACGAGCTCAATAAAATTCCCAAACGGTGAAACAATTAAATAACAAAACGAGACTAAACTCCAAACACGTTTATTGTAAAAACATCACAGCCGAGTAAAAGAAACACTTAAAATCAACTACACACAGTAACAGAGGTCAGGCACTTGGACAGAAATGGGGGGGGGGGGGGGGACCTTCCAAATGGAGGGAAGAGAAAAACCAAAACACCTTGGAAGACAAATCTAAACTCTGCATGACGATGAGGACGAAGACCCGCAGGTAACATGTGTCCATGATTATTACACGCAGCGCAGGAATCACACGTAACACCGTGTAAAAGTGCTCGTCCATCTTTAACCCCCCCCCCCCCCGTAACCAACAGCAACGCTCCCTCACATCGCACACGTAACAGAAGACGTTATTAATAAAGTTTTATACATTTGTCGAGCTCGGCTTTCCTAAACACAGAATACAGAGCAACGATTTGACCGACAACGCGACAGTTTGTGCCCTGTTTTTGTTAATGAGTCTTTGTGCTAATAGCTACGGCCCCCCAGGAGGGAGGCGGAGTGCGAGGACGACTTAAAAAGGGGTGGATTCGCTCTGCCGGACCGACCAATCAGCGTCGAACATTTCACCTCATCACGTCTTTTTTTTTCCGTTGGAATCATCTGGCTGCGTTTTGTCGTTCTTCCGCTCCCCAGCTGGTTTTTTGGGGGCTTTTTCGCGTTGGCTCCACACGTCATGTAACATGTGAACCGAGTTAAATTCCAGCCCCTCCCCCCAACGCACCCCACCCGGACAGATGACAGGGAAAAAGACAATAAAGGGGTGCACCGCCTCTTTAGTGTGTGTGAGTGTGTGTGTGGGGGGCTCGGGGGGGGGATTGGGGGGGCGCTGGTCGTCCTAATTGAACTGTTGATACAACTGACTTGTGCAGTAAAGTCGTTAAACGACCAGCGGGGCCCATTCGCTCGCCGTGCGTCCGTACTGGGGAGACAAAAAGGAGGAATTAACAAGCGAAACAGGTTTTATTGGATGTTTTGTGAAAGTTTATAAGATTCACCAAGATCACATTTCGAGTTCATTCGCCCTCCATCAAGTTAAATTAGGATCCACACAGAATCAGGCCTCAGTCAATGTGGGTGGTGCATCAACATGAACTTCTTTCGCATGACACGCATGTCGTCACGTGTCGCTCCCACTTGGGGGCACCGACCTGCAGGTTCCTCTGCAGCAGCGACAAGAAGCCCTGAACCTTCACAAGGAGGTGCTCCACCTTCACGAGGAGGTGCTCCACCTTCACGAGGAGGCCCTGCACTCACCTGAATATCAGTGAGTTCTTTGTGGAACCTCTTGGCCAGGTCGGGACCGTTCTGCATGGTCGGGATCTCGTATTTCTGTGGGGGGGAGATGTTCGAGACTTTTAGAATCAATGCTGTCTCCTGGAATTAGAGGCGGGGGGGAGTTGAACTCTGACCTTTTCCCCGTAGAGGAGGCTGCCGACTGGAGACACGACGCAGGCCGTCCCGGCCCCGAACACCTCCAGGATCTTCCCGGAGTCCAGAGCCCCCAGCAGCTCCTTCATGCCCATCGTCCGCTCTGTGACCTTGAACTCACCCTGAGAGAGACACATGGTTAGGGGAGGGAGGGAGGGAGGGAGGGAGGGGGTTACTGGCTCTGTGGAGCTCTGTGTGGAGGACCTACCCAGGTCCTGGCCAGGTCCAGCAGCGACTGCCTGGTGACTCCTGGGAGAATGATGCCGTCCAGAGGGGGGGTCAGCAACTCTTTCTCTGGAGGAATACACAGTTTTATTAAACGTTTTTTTGGGTGGGGGGGGGGCCAGAAGGAACACAGAAAAGCTGAGGAGCACTTGGGGTCCCGACCTCCTTTCTCATTGGTCCAGTAGATGAAGAGGTTCATGGTCCCGACCTCGGTGATCTCCTCCTGCTCTCCGTACAGCCAGAGGACCTGCTGGCAGCCGCGCTTCACCGCCTCGTTCTGCACCGCTATCGTGGGCCCGTAGTTACTGCGGGGGGGGGCAGCTTTAGTGCACGTCGGAGGATCAGAGAGGCTTCCGTTTTAAATACGCTGACTTTTCAGAAACAATATTCAGGATTAGTTATTCTGTGGCATCATGAAAATGAACCTTTTGTAGAAGAGGAGTTTGGTTTAATCCTGAGACAGCGTCCTCGTCACACTTCCACCAGGCGGCACCGCCGAGCTGATCGACTCAACTTGTCCCGTTTGGCTTTTTTTTCACCTGGATCGACCTTCATCGACACCACTTTATATTAAAATAAACTAATGTAGCTATGAAGCCGCAAATACGAATTTAATGCTTAAAGATAAGACCAAAACCTAAACGATGAAAAGGACTTTAAATCCACGATGACCCTGTAATGTCCTCCCCGCCTCCCTGGGTTTGGTTGTGTAATCCCAGCGGGGGGGATTAGAGGCCGTGTGGAGTGGAGATTAAACACTCGTCTAACCGGATTCTCCTCGTTGTATTTGCTTCCTGTCATCGATCCACCGGTTGGACGGGTCAAACTCTGGTTGTCTTCCTGCTTTGACGGGACAAAGAGTCCGTCTTAAAGAAGCACTTTCTCTGCGCCACGTGAGCACAAACAGACCGTAAAGCTGAATATCAAACGCAGACCGAGCACGTTAGAGACCTGCCGGTGTTATAAAGCTGATGGAACAACTCTAGAATACAACTGATGGATTCATGAGTCTTACTGTTTTTTTTTATATTCTTCTGCAATATAATTTGCATTTCTGTCCCTTATGTATCATCTGATATGATTGTTTGAGGCTGAATCCCAAGAAACCAGATGAACTCCAGACATTAAACCACGTGCAGGTCATTAAACTCTCAGATGTCGGGAATCATTTTCCATGTGTGTTGATATCTGACAGCAGGGGGGGGGAGAAGCTCTGCGCTCCTTCGGTTTTTCTCTACTTAACACGAAACAGATATTGTGGTAAGCGGCGTTGACGCGACTGCAGACGAAAACTCAAGCCTCAGAATGTGGTTCTGCACAACAATGCTGCCGCTGACAACGGGTGGAGCGCTTTTGATGATTCGAAAGGTAATTTAAAAGTCTCGCTTGTTTTGGCCCGCGGCCAGGAAGCGTCTTCCAATGACACGAACAAAACGCCTGGCGCGTTCTCACTCGCCCGGGCGGGGGAAAACAAACTCACCCTCCCATCTTGTAGGCCCCGACGCCGCCTTTCCACGCCCGGACAAACGAGGGGTCGGCCAGCAGGGAGACGGGGTTGAAGGAGCCCGTGGAGAAGTAAGGCCCCACGGGGCCCACGATGACGAAGATCATGGCTTCACTCGGGTGGGACACGCCGAGCGACGGCTGGGAGAAGATGAGAGTTAGCAGGGGTCGGTACGGTAACCGGGCGTACCACAGATGACGGCGCTCACGTCGGTGCCGATGAAGGTGGGTCGGATGTAGAGGCTGGCGTCCTGAGAGAAGGGGACCCACTCCTGGTCGACCTCCACCAGCTTCTTGATGCACTCCAGCAGCTCCTCCTTCTCAAACAGCTGCGGAGGAAACAAGACGGGGACACCACCCCGGCATGAGTACACCACCCCGGCATGAGTACACCACCCCGGCATGAGTACACCACCCCGGCATGAGTAGCACCATCGCAATCACATCGGGGGTTCTCTGCGTAAACAAACGCTTCTCTTTCTCCGCGTGAAGCTCGCGGCGGCTGAGGACGGAGCTTCTTCGTGGTCCGTACGTTTAGTTGCAACTTGAGAGGGAAGTAACGGACAAATGCAAAAGGAAAGAATCCTTGGATTCGGTTTTTAAGGGGGAAGAACCACCGAATCAGCCAAATGAAGGAACACTTGATGGAACGGAAGACAAGATGGTTGTCGCTTGCTGCTCGGAAAAGGTGAGGAGTTCAGCAGCCGTGTAGGACACGTGTTTGATATGAACATGTTCTTCCTTGTTCCCCGTCTCTGACTGGAAGTGGGCGCATGCGGGAGTTTCCCGGTGGCCTGACGAGCCGTCGAGTCTTGCATCACCAGCTTAATAAGAGCCGCCTCACACGACAGGACGCAGCAGCAAGCGAGAAAACCGGTGAACCAGTTATTGGCAAACAAAAATAAAGACATTGATGCTTTTGTTGCTCAAGATGCAACAATGAATCTTTTTCCGGGGCGTGTGTGTGTGTGTGTGTGAGAAACTCCTGCCGGTTAAAGACGGGAAGAGTGTCATCATTTGGACTCACGGGGAGGCTGCTCCTCTCGGCGCTGCGATGCATCCTCGCCATGTTCAGCATGGGGCGGAACATCCGGATGTGGTTGTCCACTCCTCGGAAGGCCTTCATGCCTTCGAACAGCTGGGGCGAGGACACACACGCACACACGCACAACAGCAGCCCGTCAAACCTCCACCGGCAGCACGAGGGCCCTTAATGAATGAATTCTGACCTGATAACGGACGCACTCACCTCGATGGAGTAGTGCAGGGCGGAGGTGGCCGGGTGCAGCGACAGGTTCTGGAAAGGTTTGATCCGAGGAGCCTCCCAGCCGGCCTTCGCCGACCAGTTGATGGTCAACATGTGGTCGGAGAACTGCTTGCCGAACACCAGGGTGGAGGGGTCGGGCTTCGGCTTGCACGCCGCGTTGCGTTCGATGACCAGATCCGACGCCTGAGGCGGAGACGGACAAGCGAGCCGGGGACAAAAAGAGAGACGTAGCCGGGACGAGAGCAGAGCGGGCGACGACAACAGGGATTGATTTTTATTCATTTATTAAAATCGGCGTTATTGACAGAGCTGGATTTTTAAAAAGCTAAAAAGTGAGCGGAGGCCGACTCGTCTGGTCGACTCGACACAATTAATTAAATTAGACTGAATTAAATGAATACAGACAGGCAGACAGCGAGGAAAACACAGAAAGGGAAAAGAAACTTTAAGTTCAAAAGGTGAGTTGAAGTTTAGTCCCACTTTAGAGTCATGTGACCTCCTTCTCCCAGTAACAAGGCGCACCAGTAGGGCGTCGTCCCATCAGGGAGGGGGGGGTGAGTTTCCCTCATTACCTTAAAGGAACTGGCGTTCCGCAGCGAGCCGAAGGACAAAGGGAGAGCCGGGACGAGGCGTCCATGGAGTGCCTGCAGATCGAAAACACCACAATACTACCGGTGATCTTTTGAAAGGTCAACGTTGTAGCGTGAAGACATGTCGTCTTCCCATAAGGCGACATTTCCCACAGCCTCAGGGAATACAAAGTGACACGGCGTCCTGACATTGTGTGTGTGTGTGTGTGTGTGTCCTGCCCCGAGGGTTCTGACAGCTAAAGAACCGGTGTAGGAAACAGTGGGCAGCAGCGCTGTAATGAAGGTGAGACATTGGTTTGCAGGGATCCTCTGTGCCGAAAGGAAACCAGTATTCGGTTTCTTATCAACAGAACACATGTGAAAACAAATCTAGGAATAGCGATGAAAGAATAAACTGTCAGCAGCTGCATTAAAGCTAAATTCCAACTTCTAGCCACACTGCTAGGTTTGTGACATGCATGACATTTGTTCTCGATACATTGGAATCCACAGTCTTCAATTTAAGAAAAATCATCTTAGCAAATGCTAGTTCGCATGTGATGCAGGACACCAGAGTAAAAACACTGACACGTGACACACTGTGAGACCTTAGTTATGCGGATAAAAACAAACAGACTTACAGCATTGAGCCCGTTAAAAACAGACCAATTAGAAAGAGTTAAGTGACTTATTTTGCATCGGTCGGATGTATGATAATAATAATCAGCTGGTTTGACAACAAACCTCCGCCGAACCCGCAGAAGGGGGTCAAATAAGTCCCGTTTGGTTAACTTCTTTTTTTTTTTTCTCAGAATTTGAAGTGAAACCAGCACATCTCATGTGTGCCGAATTGTTTATCTCACCCTGAACGTTTACACAACGTATTGATCTGATTAGTGAGAGGCCGTTGTTTTCACGCCGATGAACAAGACGGTTTTAATAGTCGGATTTCCGCACGCAGTTCGGTTCCGTGACCTCTGCGGCGCCGCGTCGCTTCGCTCTCCCCGGCGTCAGAGCAAAAGAAAACCTACGTGACGTCACCGTGGGCTTTATCGATCGCGATCGGCGCCCTTATCGCCGTTGTGCGTGAACCATTAACCCGGACAGTCGACGCAAACGCGCAATAAACAGCCCGGACACGTCGGTCAGTGAACTCACCGTTCGGAGCGCTGCCATCTCCGCTGCGATGATGATACGCGATTATGTGCTCGTGTGGAAACGGAGACGCGGGTTCAAAGTCAACTTGGGTTCCGCTTTGAGACGTTTTTTGTTCGTCCGGCTTCTGTTGGATTGAGAAACCGCCCACGCGTGACTCACCGTCCCGGTCTATCGATCCTTTTAACGCTGTGTTTATTTTTCCGTTCGTTCGGGGTTAGTAAAATAAAAAATAAAACTGATTTAAACGGTTCACGAACACCCGAGTTGGAAAAAAATACAATAAATATAAATACATATTTTAATTATTTTTTAATAACTAGTTTCACACAAGGACGTCATTGGGGGCGTGCCGAAGCGTACAATCCGATTGGCGGAGCAGCAGGCCCGCAGGGTGGGTTTATCAGCGGTCATGCTGGTGGAAGCTGATTGGCCGGTTCGGGGGGGAGCGGTTGTCCAGTTGAGTTGCAAAACGTGTAAAATGAACAACATTAATGAATGAAAACCGTGTACTATCCTTTTTTATTCACACTTAATATCTAATAACTATTTTTTATTTGGTCCCCCGAGTATTTAGATTGAAGAAGTTTAAAGAAGAGCTTTGCTTATTACTATTTTGTTTGTGTTACATTATAAAAGACAGAGGTCTTCAACAGGGGGTCCGCGACCCCCAAGGGGTCCGCGAAGGTACCGCAGGGGGGGTTGCGAAATTTTTGGTTGATAAGACAATTTTTTTCCCCACAAATGTAAATGTCTTCAGAATCAGAATTTTATTTATGGTCTTTAAATACACATTAACACGAATCCAACATATTGAAGCGAACGGCTAAATTAATGGAGAAGAAGTTATCTGTCAGTGCGCAACACACACACTCAGCTTCCCTCAGCAGCTCTCAAGCTGGGCACCGGTTGACTGAGTGCTCCTTTCATCGTCGTATCAGCATGAATGATCAGATCGGTGATTAGATCGCCTTTATGCTCACGTCTAAAGAACGTGAAGCTCAAAAATAAAAAGATGGCGGACCAAACTCCATAGAATAGGGGGTCTCTGCTCCACCTCGCCATCAGTTTGGGGGACCTTGGCTTGAAAAACGTTGAAGACCTCTGATATGAGACATTAAAACGTTTAGATTTTTATTTCCTGCTCAGGTGTTTTCATTTATCAGTTGAACCGCTCCTCAGCGCTTTGTTCTCCATGTACAGAACTAAATAATATCTATTGACAAAGAGGGTTTTGTTATATTTATTAATCGGTTTATCTGGACACAAGCTAGTTCAACAGCCAAATTCCCCTCATGGGGGATCAATTACGGATTATGATACATCCTTAAAGCACAATAGCCCGAGTATGGTATTAGTGAATGTATAATCCACACTTAATTTGAAAACCGCTAAACAAGCAGTTCGACGACGATGAGTCCGTGGGGAACCAGGACAAGTCCTGTCAAGTTTAATAGTGCTGCACAATGCACATAGTCAATGTGCGAAGGTAAGACAATTAGAAAAACAGAGATACTGGACAAAACACATAGGAACACAAGATAAAAAAAGGTTTACAATAAAGAGAATAAGACCATACCGTATTATTAATATTCGGAAATCAAAGTTTAACCCTTTAACCAAACACATTGAACCTAAGCTTGCAAAGACACATAAGACGTGTATAAGAGGCTGTTGTGGCGAACAATCACATGACTGAGGACCCTGTAAACATGTAGAATCTCTTGAGATGGCGCAGAGGCCGTGACTCGTCCCTTGGGTGCTCGGGGTGGGAGGCGACGGTCAGGAGGGGATCTGACTCTTGATGCCGTAGTTGAGTTCGGCTCCTCCGCTGAGCAGCAGGTCGATCCCGGTGCAGAAAGTGGCGTCCGCGGCCAGGTACAAGGCGGCCAGTCCGGACTCCCCCTCGGTCCCCATGCGCCCCAGCAGCTGTGTGAGCGGACGACACGTCAGCGCTCGCGGGCTTTTTATGAAGCTCCATCACTGGAGGAAAGCGGCTTGGCGGCTCTCAGACAATTGCAAAATAAAACAAGTACTTTGGAATCAGAAAAGGTGACAATCCCACACATTTCCCGCTCAGAGGAGGAACCCGGTCGGTTCCACAGGCAGAACTTGCCTGATGGGTTTCTCCTGTTTTGATGGCTGCAGCAGCATCGGGTGTTTGTCCTGCTAGTTCCTCCCACAGCGGCGTCAGCACGTTGCCTGGAGAGATGCTGCAACACAACGGCACACAGCGGCATCACATCAAAGTTCGGGTTCATTCAAGGATTCAGGTGTACCAGAAAGGACAGAGGGACTGTTGCAGAAACTGTTCTGATCGGAGACTCTTATGTGGAAAAGAGACCCTAATATCGATTAAATTAAAAGTATGTCATATTTCCCAATTTGGAAAGAGATGAAAATATTTCAAATCATAAAAATACTTTATCTGGATCTCGAGGCTCTTGGCTTCATATAGCGATGCCTTTGAAAGGTCACGACCCTGAGGTTGGGAACCACTGGATCTAACTAACTTAAGCAGCAACATTAACTTTCTACTTCTACATTGTGAAGCTTGTGAAGTTTATGCAAAACAAAAAAAAACACCTGTAATAATCCAACATGTCTAGAAATCTATTTTTTTGTTTTTTGGCTTTAAGACCTTATGAAAACTCGACATTAAAGATGGGAGTCGTCGTGTCTCCTGTTGCAGCCTTTGTAGACGCAGCAGCTGACCGGAAGTAGAACAGAGCCGTTGCCCGGGCAACGGAACGGCAACAAAAAGCCTCCCGCTGGTCTCACCAGTTCACTCTCACGTTGTGGACACTCTCGTCCACGGCCATCGCCTTAGTCATGGAGATGATCGCCCCCTGGTGGAGAAAAGAGCACATGGCGTACATTCTCCCTCCCGCTTAACCTGTGATTGAAGGTAATTACGTCATCCGCAGCTGGAGCGATGATCTCACCTTGGTGGCCACGTACGGGGCGGCGTGCTTTTGACCGATGGTCGCCACCAGACTGGACACGTTGATGATGTTTCCATGACGCTGGCGTAGATACGGCAGCGCGTACTGAGGAGACAGAGAGAGAGACCTCCTACGTCACTTGGACAGGTTGCTGAATTTTAAAAACCAAAGTGAATACGCTGTCGTTTTGACTCGATTTACAGACGTGGATCTAAATTAAAAGCGAGCAATTTTATTTTTTAAACGTTGGATACATAAAACAAACCCGAAAATAAATAAATGGATGAATGAAACAATCAAGTAAGACAACAGAATTTACCTCCGATCACACGCATTCAGATTAATGTTTTTTACAATGCACCCTCATTTACTGCCATGCTGTGTCGTCGTTTTATGATTATCATCAAAAATAAATACATGTCGGGATCACATTTCACAATTCAATTTTCCGGCGGGAAGACGTTACCTTAGAAGCCAAGAAGTAGCTGACGACGTTCAGATTCAGCAGGTCCCGGAACTCCTGCGCCGTGACGTCATCGGTGGGTTTGTGAGGAGGGTCTGCAGACCAACAGATACCGAGAGAGATCCAATTGAGCACGAACGCGTCATCATCATCATCATCATCACCATCACGGAGTCTGCCGGAGGAGGGAGGATCAAAAAGAGACTCACGCCACCCCGCGTTGTTGACCAGGCAGTCCACGTGTCCGTGACGCGCCACCGTGACGTCGATCAGCCTCTGTGAGGAGACACGCAACACCAGTTATACGTATGTACATCACACGTCATTTAGCTGACGCTTTTAGCCTTTTGCTATTTTCTCAATATTGGGAACACGACCCCCCCAAAGAATGCGTGGTTAGGCCCTTGGTATACAACATCCCGTCCCCAGAGAAACCTGCAGAACTGGTTCAGACGAAGGCTTCTGGAGCTGAGGGAGTTCCTGTCGCTCCAGTTTTAGCGGACAGAAAAGGGTAAAACAACAATAAAATGACACTTTTGTTTGACTTAATGGAAGTTTTGGGCTGAAAGACGGGAGACACTTTTAGCCACGGGTCATGTGATCGGGCCAATAACAAGAAACAGCGTTAATGTCGCACAATACCTTGATGTCATCCTCTTTGGAGATGTCGCATGTGACAAATTTGCACGAGCCAGGTCCTGTTTTGTTTAGCTCCGCCTCCAGAGCCTCACCTGCCGCACCTGGGATGTACGAGTTATTGTTGTCAATGAAGTGTGTGTTTAAGCTTTAAATGTATTTCAGTACAACTCCAATTCAGACCTTCTTGTACCTGTACTGTATGCTTACACCTGCAATTGCTAATTTATGTAAAAATGCATTGAATGTTTTATACATGAGATAACTCTGGAACAAAACTGATTCTACTTAATAAGTACTTTAGTACTACTTTGAATGTAGTATTTTTAGAATTCTGTTTTGAATACGTGCATTTCATATTTACTCGAAACAATCCGAATGTAAAGTTCACTGACCTCCTCTTGCACAAAACACCACTTTGGCTCCATTCTCCACTGAAAAGAAAAGACCCAAGATGTTCAGGTTGGTAATTCACCAAATACGCATGCGCACTATAAATGAGAATAATTACCAAACACTTTGACGATCCCTCTCCCGATCCCTTTGGATCCCCCGGTCACGATGACAACTCTGTCGGGGTATCGGAGCGACATTTCGGGTTCTGCTTCTGCTTCTGAACGCGATCTTTGAACGCCTCAACTGTGCGCGACGCGTGACACACCACGTGACCGAGACCAGGAAGCGTCCGGCGCGCGCTCTTCCTCTTCAGTTCGTCGAACCGTCACCGCAATTCAAACCGCAATTCGGCCGCGCATCACGCGGTATCGCGCTGCTGCCTTCAGGGGCTGTTGGTAGTGTTGGAAATCACAACGTTCACTCAAAAGCGGCCAATAAAGTTGGAAAATTAGTCACTGAATTGTGCACTTTTACACACTGGAATTCCTCCCATGAAACCGTTTGTTGCTGCTAAGGAAAGACATGCGTTTAAATTACTTGATAACTTGATAATAAAACCAGATGAAAACTCATCACAACAATAATAATTGTTGTTCACAGAGCTCTGAATTATGCACGCTCTTATACAGTGACGCCTGGGACATAGAGGACCATGGGCCCCCCATGAGCCCCCCGAGCCACAAAAAAAATAAAACAATAAAGCAAATGTTGTTTTGTGTCTTTCTGTTGTCATTTTCACTTCCCTCTGCGTGTGTTTGTGTCTCTTTGGGTTGTTCTTCTTTTGTTTGGGTTGTCGAGTGAGTCGTTATTACTTTGTGGTCATTTTGAGCCTCTTCCACGTCGTTACGTTTCTCTTTAAACGGCGTGTAGGAGTTGAAGGCGAGGGAGGCCCCTGACGCTTGGGGCCCCTGAACCTGTCACGCGGCTTCAGCGTAAACTTAATGACGGGTCTAAAATAGCCACAGATGTCCTGATTTATATTTAATTCACAACGACAACTGCAATTGCAGGTCAAGCTCATTTGCCACGTTTTTAAATTGGTGGACAATTCTTCGCCAGCCTCCATCAAGTGGCCGATTGGATAGATTTATACCATGAAAACAAAGCTTTGTGCCTCCAAAGTCCTGCTTATAATATTTAAACGTAATAGTTTTGGCCTTTGCCATGTGAGTGTACAGTTCCATGTGCACACATGAGTGCAAGTATGTGCAGTATGTTTAAGAGCGAGTGAGAGGTTAACAGGCTGACATTTTCAGGACGGGTAGAGTTGTTGGGGGCAGATAAGAAGTGTCTGTAGGGGGGGGGGTGGGGGCTCGAGGGGTGGGCAGCGGTGCTTTTTGGATCGGGAGCGGGGTCCGGGATTGAATTTCGGCCCGACAGCATTCCCCCCGGGGAGCGAACCCGAGCGTGAGAGCGAGCTCAAGTGAAGGCCGCGAGTGACCTACAAACAAGCGTGACCATCCGAGCTGCAGATTAACGCCGCAGCAGCACCCCGAGGGAGCCACGCCGCTCCCCCCGACACCCCCTAACCCAACCCCCCCCACCCCCACCCGCCTCCGAGGAGAGAGACCGAGCGGGTGCAGAGGGGAAAGGTCAGACGGAAAGGCACCCCGAGGTGGAGGTGCGGTCGGACGGAGACATGGTCAACCTGTGCAGGCGTCGTTAGCTCTGAATCGGGGGCTCTGGCGGAAGGAGGATTCTACTGGGAGAACTGGACATGCTAAACTGGTGATGAGCACGAGGCCGACCGCATGTGTGGAGCTTTTTGCACGGAGCGCCTGCTTGATGTTATTTACCCCTCGGAATATAGTGGGAGACGTACGTAAATCTTCTAATTAATGTAAAGAACATGGGGACATTTTCATAGCAATTCTGTCTTTGGTTTAAATGGTTTAAATAGTTTGGGTGTTGTGACTTTGTTTGGTTAAAATCAATTTGCTCGTTACACAATTCAGCCAAACATAATAAATTGTAACGTGACCTCAAGATGTTTTGTTTTCTGTTGTCCAGAACAATTGTGCCGTTGAATTCACAGAGAAAGAAGAAAAAGAGGTGAGATTTGGAATATTCTGTAAAAGTTAAAGTTCTAGCTGGTGAAAATGTGTTTGTGTTTGTTGTTTTATGACCAAACGTAACAACACAGTGTATTTTATTTTACACATATAATCTTTGTGTGTCTTTCTTTTGGCTTTTATCTACCGATGTTTCCCTGCTGTGTTCTCTTGTTCACAGAGTGAAGACACGAGGAAAGTAAGTCAACAAACCCAAGAAAGAAAGTGATGGATCATCAGGACAAAGGAGGAGGCACAGGAGGAGGAGGAGGAGGAGGAGGAGGAGGAGGGCAGACTAACGAGAACGAGAAGGCCGAGGACGTCGTCGATGAAGAGAAGTGGACCAAAGACAAGAACAACAAGCTGGAGAAGGAAATCGGCGGGAAGGAGCCCGGCAGGGGGGCCGCCAAGGAGAAGCGCCGCTGCCCCTGGAGGAGCGGCTGGGCCCTGGCCGAGCGCCTGGCCATCAACGTGTCGGGGATGCGCTACGAGACCCAGCTCCGCACCCTGGCCCAGTTCCCCGACTCGCTGCTGGGCGACCCCGGCCGGCGCCTGCGCTACTTCGACCCCGTGCGCAACGAGCTCTTCCTGGACCGGAGCCGCGTCTGCTTCGACGCCATCCTGTACTTCTACCAGTCCGGCGGGAGGCTGCGCCGGCCCGCTAACGTGCCGCTGGACATGTTCCTGGAGGAGCTGCGCTTCTACGAGCTCGGGGAGGAGACCATCGACCGCTACAAAGCGGAGGAGGGCTTCTCCAAGGAGGAGGAGAGGCCTTTACCCACCAATGACTTGCAGCGGCGCCTCTGGATGCTGTTCGAGTACCCGGAGTCCTCCGGCGGAGCTCGGATCATCGCCATCATCAGCGTCATGGTCATCGTGCTCTCCATTCTCATCTTCTGCCTGGAGACCCTGCCTGAGTTCAGGCTTGAGAAGGAACAGAGGGAGGTGAGGACGGGCTGCACGGTGCTGAGGTAGCTGACGGGGTGCAAAGAGATTCACTGTGAGAGAGCGGTGAGGTCAACGTAGAAGGACAACAGGCTGAATATAGAAGCAGAACAAAAGGATTAGAAATATCAAAGTTAAGAGTTCTTTCCTGAGATTATTCAGGACTGGACATTAGATCTGATCCTAGCTGACTTAGCCAAAGGAGACGAGGAGGGATGTTAAAGATCAAGGTGAGGAAAGCCTGAGTAGGACGGGTCGGAGGTTTCACGTCGTGCAGAGGAACTGCCTCGTCGGCCACTCGGGGCCGACTGCCAGAAGCAACAAGCGCATTCAGGCCAGAGTGGACACTCCGACGTGGTGGAGCAGGGAGACAGTGTGGAACGAGTTAGAGGTAAAAAAAAAAAAAAAAAAAAAGGCCCGTGAAGTGAAAGCAAGGAAAGGAGACGACCTTGTCTCACGTTACCCCTTGGAGAGCCAAAGGGGCTAAATATAGAGGGAAGGACATCAACACATAAACCAATGTCTGTATTAATACCCGCTGTGACTCACAGGCTGCAAACTGAAAACAGCATGGAAAAGAGACTTTTTGATGACCGCCGCTAAACCAAATTAGCCTCGCGTACACTCCAGTGGCCCGGAGGCGAGGTTCGGATTCTGGGGGTTCGGACGGCAGAAGTGACACCGCTGCCGCGCTAGCATTTACAAACCCCCCCCCCCAACACTGCTCTGTTACTCCTATACATATAAGGATGTATGTGAAGTGAGCAGAGCTGCTTTGAAACGCTACACAAACAACACAAAACCCGCGTGAATGTTGTTGTTGTGACGAGCGGTGTGCCGTTTAATTGGAGAAAGGTCCCCAAATTTTAAGATCATTCTCATACAATTTAGGTGAATGTGAATGGGTTCCCCTGCCGGTAAACACCGTTAGCTCTGTCAGCACTCACTTGAGTTGCACTGTTAGCGGCGTTGGCATTGCTATCAGTTCTTCGACATACCTGTTCGGTTAGCCTACTTCAATCCGTGACTCCGGCCTTCCCGCTACCTTTATTTTGATGGGAACGTTTCGATGGGACCACTAATGACACATCATTACAAAATATATAAAATACATTAGTACATGTGGCGTCGGGGACAATGTGCGCTTCGAGGTCGCCGGCAGCTGGGAGTAACCATATCTAACTTGTTCAAAGACACTAATGCCCAACCATTTCAGACCTGCACCTACTTCCCAGAAAAAAAACACGCAGCCCGTTAAACCAAGTGTCGGATGCCGCCGCTCTCGTGTCTGAGGCCGTAACGCAACCCAGCGTCACATGAACTCCAGGTTTTTTTTTTGTGTGTGTGTGTGTGTGTGTTTATATATAGAGAAACCGATTTATATCAGAGGAAAAATAAAGCCGGTGGAGTGAAAATGGAGAGGAGGGGAAAGTTAGCACCGTATCACAGATCTCACTGGCTCGATCAGACCTGGTGACAGGTGTCCTACTCCGAATGTGCTGAGGACAAACTTTGTGAATAACTGCGTCTTCTCACCGATCCGCCGTCCGCTGTTTCCACTCCTGTAAACATTGTCGCCATGGAGACACTTAGTACTTAAGCAACCCCTTTACTCTCATGTTTCCCAACGCAACAACACACGAGAGAATATAAATATATCTACATATATATATAGATATGTACATCTATATATATATATATATATATCATTTGCTTTATTGGTTTAATCTGAAAACACTTTTCTGTCATTTTTTTGTCTCTCAGCAATTCACCACCATGCCTCACCCCACCATAGCGAACGAAACCATCTCGGTCCCGCCCGGCTTCAACCCCTTCCAGGACCCCTTCTTCATCGTGGAGACCATCTGCATCATCTGGTTCTCCTTCGAACTCATCGTGCGCTTAATCTGCGCTCCGAGCAAGGTGCACTTCTTCAAAGACGTCATGAACACCATCGACTTCTTCGCCATCATTCCCTACTTCGTTACCCTGGGCACGGAGATGGCCAAGGACAAGGGCGCGCCGCCCTCCGTGTCCCTGGCCCTCATCAGGGTCATCAGGCTGGTGAGGGTCTTCAGGATCTTCAAGCTGTCTCGCCACTCCAAGGGCCTCCAGATCCTGGGCCAGACGCTGAAGGCCAGCCTCAGAGAACTCGCCCTGCTCATCTTCTTCCTGTTCATCGGCGTCATCCTCTTCTCCAGCGCCGCCTACTTTGCGGAGGTGGACAGCAAAGACACGGCGTTCACCAGCATCCCCGGGGCCTTCTGGTGGGCCGTGGTGACCATGACGACAGTGGGCTACGGGGACATGTACCCGGAGACGGTCGGGGGGAAGCTGGTGGGCTCCATGTGCGCCATCGCCGGCGTGCTCACCATCTCGCTGCCGGTGCCCGTCATCGTGTCCAACTTCAGCTACTTCTACCACCGCGAGAACGAGTGCGAGGAGACGACGCAGTACAAGCACGTGTCCACGTTGCTGTGGGACGGGGAGGACGACGGAGAGGGGGAACGCGAGGAAGGGGCGGACGAGGAGCTCGAACACACGGGGGACTACGCCCCCCTGTACGGGCCGGACGGCGGCGGCGGCGGCGGCATCTGCCCGCCGCTCAACGGTTCCCTCCTGGTGGGGCTTTGTGCCGGACAGGAAGCCGCCGGGCGGAGAGGGACAAACTTCTACCTCAACGAAACTCTGGTCACTCAGGTTTAACGGCGAGGCAGTCGGACGTTTAACGGAGGGGAGGGCGGAGACCGGAACGTGAACACAAGAGACTTGATACCAGATCGACCATGTTGGATTTGAGGTTTTTGCTTGGTTTTTATTTCACTCGTTGTTTACGGGAAACATCTGTTTTTCTCAATGAATAAATGTAACGTGATCTCTTCTGTCCAGCTCAAGGAAAAAAAACACCTGGTGCACAATGAAAAAGATAAAAAATGTTTTTGAGTGAGGAGACTTTTTGCTTGTTCTGGGCAATAACAATGGCATTTATTAGAAAAATTATAATAAAGATTTTAGGTATTACGTGATTTTACATTTACATAATTCTTTCAATCATTTCCTTTAACGTTTCCTGAATATACGTAGGTTTAGTAGGTTAAGTTAACATTTATTTATTCTACATATATTATCGGAAGCTGTATTCTCCACATGCATGTGGACAGTTTTTCATGTTCAGTTGTGTTGACTGAAACACTACCTCGGTTACACTGGCAAATGGTAAAAAATGATACTTATACTATATAGTTTGTTTTCTAAGAAACTTCATTTTTGTTTGAAAAGCACGCTAAACATATTTTCCCATTGTGCAGCAGAAGGACAAAGATTATTTAAGGAATCTGAACATGTTTGTAAAAGCGTGGTTAATCACCCGTGAGTTGCTCGTGCGACTTGATCGTCGCTGTACAGGTGTCAAATGTAAAAATGAAAATCCCTGCAACGACAGATGGCACTTCTGCAGAAATGTGACCATGTAAAGCCAGCGTGCAGTAAACACACGGCTCAGCGAAGTGATCTCCTGCGGGAGCGAACTGCACGGCGCCGCGGTGGTGTCGGCGATGTAATCCGCGACCGGTAAATTGCTCATCGGCGCGGACAGAGTTCATGTCGGCGGTCATGGTTACATACGGCGACGTAATGGATACGGCTGACATTTCTAACCAGCGGAGCCATGGCGAGGCCTCGCTTGTCACGGGGACGCCTTCCCCCTCGTTAACCTGCCTAAAAGCGCAGATGCGTTTGAGCTGTAGATATGCGTGTGGTTTCCCTCGTTCATCGGCTGACCTTTGATCCCAAATCACACGAAGATGAAGGCCTTAAAAAACACTTTTAATATGCTGTTCCGTTTTTATATTTTTGATTTCGCTACTATGAGACATTCTTTGTTGAACTTAACTAACTATAAAAGGTCAAATATTTCATTAAAAGAATGAAATGTTTTAATGAATCCCGCTGCAGGAATCTTCAAACCCAGAAAGGAATCGGCATCTTTGCACTTCCTGTTTCCGGTGAATGTATATTTGTTATTAGCTTTGGGTTTTTGAGTACTGAAATAAAGTCTGTGGTTCACAAGAGCTTTGTACAGTTTTGTTCAACAATTTAAAACACGGCTGCTCACTAAGAGCTGAACCAGATGTTGTCCATGTTTCATGTTATTGGGAAGTCTAGAATAACGCTAGATAACGTTAGCTAACACTGGCTAACGTTTTGCCTCGGCAGATTGTATTCGCTCCTCCGAAAAGTGGTGTTTATCTGTGAACATTATCAACCAATAATATAAAAATACAACAGAAAAATCATGATGGCTTTTTTTCTTATTTTTTCCGTTTTCAATTGTCCCTGTGAGAAACTTGATAGAAGAGAAACTGTCATTTTAATTCATGTATGATCAAATATTTGATCCAAATCATTCACCAATCATCAAAAACAACTCGCATGACAGGCAGCGAATAAATAAAGGGCATTTTGCAGGATTTTTAGAGTTTTTCCCAAATTCTTGATACAATTTTAAAAAAAGATTTTGGAAACCCTGAATCTGAGATACTTTTATGCGCTGTTTGCGCTGTATTATGCGCCGATGTCGTGTCATCCGCAATACAACCCTTAAGACAGATGTGGCTGTGCATGTTTAAACCCGAATGTCTTCCTTCATTTAATAAAGATCACATGCTCATCGCTCAGGTCGTGGATTCGTGATTTACTTCCACGCGCTCGGATCCCAACGAGGCGTCGTCACTCAGTGCAGAAAGGATGCTGCGACGCGCAGGGGCCCCGTGCGATGAGCGATCCCGCCTCTAGATGTCAGACTGTGTTTTAAAAACCGGGACGTCCCGTCTCGCTGCCGCTGGATTTCATTGAACTGATAACGAGCAAAATGATCGCGTCAATTCACGCCATGTCATCCGCATGTTATGTTATGTTGTTTTCATTCCCTGTTACTGAAAAAGGCAAGAAAAAAAGAAAAAAGGCTTTGTATTATTGTACCAAACTGGAAGCAGATGAAAGTTGACGTGATTCGATCTGGTGTCTGACATTCCAGCCAATTCTACATTATGCATCACCGGGGACATTTGGGGATTTCCTTTTGGCGTTTAGTGTGGGTTTTTGGAATAATTCAATATGAGCTCCTTTTAATAACTATTTAATCATCTTTGTTGCCAAAATACACAGACCTAAGGAGAAAAATGTCCTCGTTGAAACTCACACGGCTGTAACAGCATGACTTCATCCATCATGTCACACCAGACTTTCAATGTGACGCCATGGCAACACCTTCTCACACCCAATTTTAACAAATACTGACGCTTTACTGGTCCTAGACTTCACGACCCCAGTGACGCTTTTTTCTCAGTAGACGCTCAACAAATGGCGCCTTTTTTTCTTCTTACTTTTGAAACAACTTGCTTCCCAGGAAATTTAGCCGTCAAATGAATCTAATTCTATGACTTATTTGGTTTGACGTTCATTCAAAATATCATTGATCAATAAGCGTTTTTTTGGGTCTTAATAATAACAACTAAAGAATATATTTGAAACGAGCTGAAGTGTTTCGGAGGAGATGATGTTCATAACCTCAACACACACACACACACACACACACACACACCCACACTACGCTGTGATTAAATTCCTGACCCCCCCTCAGATGGTATGACATCCTCGCGTCGTGTGCCAGAGTCATCAGACGGATTAGTGTCCGAAAAACATCCTCATCACAAATTTAGAATTTCCCGACAAACCTCGACACCCCCCTTTTTTTTTTTCATTCAGATCCTCATTGACCTGCAGCATCTCACCTTTGACCCCCCTCTCCCTCCCTCCCTCCCCCATTACTCTGCCGAACCTCGACTCTGACGTCAGCCCCGGTTGCGATTACCCAGGGTGCCCTTATGCTGTCTGGGAAGAATGAAAAAGGGATTGACGTCTTTCTGGCCATCTGCCGCCCCCCCCCCCCCACACTCCTCTCCCATCCCTCACCCTCACCCCCGCCTCGCCCCATCCTTAACTCGAGAGGATTATGCGTGTTGGTATCTCCGTGTGCCTTCCTCTCATCAGCGCGTTCTTTATTGCTCCCGATGTGTGTCTGTTGCAGACCAGTAATATACTTTGTCTTCGTCACCGAATTGCTGACGCGTGTTCCCTACCGAGCGCAAATCCCTCCACAGATTGCGCTTAAGCAGCAGAGGAAACACAGGAGAATCACAGTTATTTTAAATAAATCTCTAAGATTTTATTACGTACAATATACACATGAGCCGGACCTGTGAATCTGAGTCAAGACTTAAGGAAGCGGGGAGGCGGTTGATGAAATTTAATTTAAAACGAAAGGCAATCCAGTTGTGAGGGAGAACCGATGACGTCATTTCACAGCATTTAAGAATGAACGAGTCAATTTGAGACATACGACTAAGTCGAAACAGCATCTCGCCTAAAACTCTTCCTTTTAGACACCAGACCACAACGAGGAAATACAAACCATAGATGATGGAGACAACATGGACATCAAGATGAGAGGAGATGTGCAAGAAGAGCACCGAGGAGGAGAAGGTAAACAGATAAACAAAGGTAGAGAATAAAAATGAAATAATGACTGCTGTTTTTTTTTGTTTTTTTTCTTTTGTTCAGATGAACCAGTTGTTTTTTTCTCATGGTTATTTGAAAAGAACGGTTTAACATTTCAGGAGTTAAATTAGAAGATCAATTTAATGCATGTAGGGTAAATAAGAAGCTACAGTCAGCAGCCTGTTAGCTTAGCTTAGCATAAAGATTACAAGAACCCTCCAACAATCAATAACCGGAACACGAGGCCTTAATTAGTGACCTTATGAGGGTGCAGGTCGGTTGGATTTACTCTGAAACATTTGAGCTCTCGCGTCTGCACGAAAAGCGCCTTTGCCAAAATGTGAAGCTGTTCCTGCAATTTTCACTTCCTGCCAGGAAAAACCACCAAGTGGAGGAGAAGGAGTAGAAGGGTCAGCTGACAACTTGTGGTTGTGCGTTAAAAGGCCGACAACACCGAGATGCCTCTTTTCTCATCGAGAGCAAAACTCACAACTTCCTCTCCGCTCAGTTCAGACCTTCAGGCGTGATCGTGAAACGACAAAGTGGAGACGGAGGCGTGAGCGGAGGAACCGGGGGGAACAACTCTCGGCTTGAAGCTCAGTGAAGGTCCCTCAGGTCGTGGTCGCCTACGAGAAGCAGCAATGGAACCTGCCGGGACCTCGAAAAAGCAAAAAGTAATCGACGGGGGAGGTTTTTTTTCGTTTTTTTCTTTTTTTTCCAGAGGGGTTAAGAACTGGATCAGGGCAGGTCGCTGTGCGGCATCGCCTGCCGCCGGTCGTAAGCGGTGTCGTCGCTCTCCTCGCCGTCGCTGGTCTCGCCCAGGACCCGGTCCCTCTCCTCCTCCTCCTCGGTCTCGCTCTCTCGCCTCAGACGCTCTCGCTCCCGATCCCTCGCTCTCTCTCTGTGGGAGCGAGGCAGCGTGGGAACCTTGGGGGGGCAAAACCAAGATGTCCCCCCGTCAGTGTAACGTGGCATCTTTTATTAGATGATGATTGATATTAATCAATCAATTATTCTCAACGCTTAGAAAGGAGAATTTCTCCTTCGCTGGATCTGGAAACCCAAGTAGAATTCCTTGGACCAGATGCGAGGCTGATTCCTGAGAACCAGCGTTCAAATCTAAAAGTGACATGAAGAAGAAGAAGAAGTGGGAGGAGTTACCTGGTTGTCGTGGCTGGGCAGGGCGCAGTAGCCCGCCTCCGGCCTGCGGAGGACCCGGGGTGAGTGGGCGCGGAAAGGCCGGGGGGAGTGGGAGCAGACGGAGCGCGGGGACGGGGAGCGGACGGAGCGAGGTGACGGAGATCTGACGGAGCGCGACGGGGAGTAGGCGGTGAACTGGGACTGGGAGACGACGTGGCCGTGGTGGTTTTGCTTGGGCGGGCGAGGGGAGCGGGGGGGCAGCTCGGGCGGCTTGAAGGGGTCGATCGGGTCCATCTCCGCCAGGAGGGGCGGAGGGGGGATGAAGTCCAGCTCCTCCGGGCGGAGGAGCAGCATTTCGGCCGCGTCGATTTCCGCGAGCTCGGCCTTCGACAGGTGGTCCACGATCCCGGCGCCGAAGGAGTCGCCCACCACGTTGATGGAGGTACGCATTCTGTCCCTGGGTGGAGGAACCAGAGTCAGGGTGAGGATGGAGGAGGGAGCTAAATAACACCGGAACCTTCATGACTCACAGCAGCCAGTCGACGGCGATGAGCAGACTGATGTCCTGAGTGGGAAGCCCCACGGCCGTCAGGATCAGCAGCATGGTGACCAGTCCGGCACTGGGAATACTGGCGGCCCCCACGCTGGCCAGGGTGGCAGTCAGACTGTGTGGGGATGGGAGGTGGGGTGGGGGTGGGGGGCAAAGAGCAACAAGTCCCTATGAGAAAGTGCTCTGACAACAACAAAGAGGTAGTCGAGTGACTCCTGGGGCAGTTGGGAGGCGCTTGAACGCACCACGAAGAATGCAGGAAGCAGACGTTGGTTTAAAACCTGTTGAGAGGAAATTGTTACTGCAGTTAGAAGAGGAAAAAAAAAAGAGAGAAGCCAGGTGTTGTTTTTGTCGAATCGGTTTCAGGAGGCGACTTTATTGATCCTGGAGGGGAAATTCCTTTACTTTTTTTTTTCACTGTGCTATTTTTTTTTTTACACACACAAACAAACGCACAGACCGGACCTACACACTAGCATGATTTAACTCGACCCACCCTTTTTTTCCTACCCCACGCCAACCACATCACCAGGACCGCCTTCCTCCACCTCAGCAGCATCGCACGGCTCAAACACACCACCCGAATCCTCATCCATGCCCTCATCCAACCCCGACCCCCCCCCGGTCCTACGCAACCTCCACTGCCTCCCGGGTCAAATACAGGATAGGCCTCAAAATGTTACTCATCACCTACAAAGCCCCAAACAACCTGGACCTCCTCCCCCCGCCGCGCCCCCACACGGTGCCACCGTTTCATCATTCAAACAAGCCCTCAAAACCCACCTCTTCAAACTCGCTTTCAAATGCAAACGCCTCCATGACTTTCTCGAGTTTAATTTCTTTTTCATTTTTAATTTTTTCTGTCTTTCCTCTCAACTGTACGTTTCCTGTACTTAGATTTATGTTGTCAAGCGTCTTTTTGTACCAAGAAAAGCGCTTTACAAAAAAACGAAAGTTTTATTATTATTATTAACTTTGTTTTACTAACTCAGCCGCATGTCTGCCAATAAAATAAAGAAAGTCCAGAGGGCTTAGAAGTGGAGGAATGAGTTCCACAAATTGTTGTGTGTTATTTATGCTTTGGCTTGACATCAACACATCCTAAAAAGCCTCCGCGTTGAAAACTGGTTCGGCGGGATCTCAGTGCTCGATGATCAGCCAGTTTGAAGAGCGAGCAGTCGCCGCGGCAACCGCCCGTGGGATTGCCGGAGGTTTTGCAGAGGTTTACTGGGTTACTTTCAGGAAATAAATCAAAAGAGAAGCAGAGGCATTGTGACTTCTACAAAACCAGAGACATTAGAGAGAATGACAGTTTAAAACATTCCTCTCTCTTTTATCTGCTGGCATCGAGCTCTGCAGCAAAGTAACCACAAAAAGTCACAATCCACTTTCATCGAGTTATTTGCACGATGGCTTAAGTTACTGTTGGTGAATATTCTTTCTTTTTGGCTGTATTGTTGTGTTTGTTGTCCTTAGTAATTATAATCGCGCCGTACGTTCAGCAGAAAGACGTTTCTGAGGAAAGAAAGAGATTCGTCGCCAAACAAAGGCGAATCTCTTGATGTTTTCTCGAATCCTTTTAAGTTGTCGGACTTTAATCCGCCCGGTGGAATGCAACCCGACGGGTCATGTTTGCAATTAAAAGGCATTATCAGGTGATGTCGTGCCCCAGATGCGACTCTTCTGATCTCAGAGCTCTGCGTTCCACGTCGGTCCGCTCTGTTTAAACGTTAAACTGGGCGATCTCAGAGATTCACACGCTGCATGTGGATCTTATTCCAGAACAACTCCACCACAATTGATTCAGCAGACTTTTTCAAAAATAAGATTTGGCAATTTGGTGGCGAGCGGCTGTTAGACATCGAATAAACGTCTTCAAAGTGGCCGTCTGAGGCTATACGGGGACTTAAAGAAGTCGTTGGTCTCTGCAGGCTTCCTCCAGCCGATGTAACTCACATGCATCTGGTTCACATGAATGTTGGAATTCAGCTCACACAGCGACGCCCCGTTAAAACTGCTTTTAATACACAACACAACAGCCAATCAGAAGGCTGAGATCATGTCACGTGACCTTCAGCTGGGCACTACGGAAACCTCTGGTTCCCTTCTGGTCGGCCGACGGGAACGGACTGTTGGAAGTGTTTCAAAGGCGGCGAAGAACAAAAGGGAAGACGTCACCTGACGGTGATGATCTGTCCGGTGTCCAGCGAGATGTCGTTCATCTGGGCGATGAAGATGGCCGCCACGGCCTCGTACAGCGCCGTGCCGTCCATGTTGATGGTGGCGCCGATGGGCAGCACGAAGCGAGTCACGCGCTTATCGATCTTCAGGTTCTCCTCCAAGCAGCGGAAGGTGACGGGCAACGTTCCTGCACTGAGAGAAGGAGAAGAAGAAGAAGAAGAAGAAGAAGAAGAAGAAGAAGAAGAAGAAGAAGAAGAAGAAGAAGAAGAAGAAGAAGGAGCCACGAGAGGAATTTAAAACAAGACGTGAAGATGTGCAGAGACCGGGAGCAAAGTGCTGCATGATGTGAAATAGGCAGACATGTGCAGAGGTGAGGAGGGGTGAGGGGGGGGGAACTGCAGTAGATACACCCCCAAAAAAATAGGAAATTCGAGTCGGCCGACAGCCTCCTGACAGCTGGTGCAGAACGCCGCTCGTCCTCCAACATGCGAATTACAGGAATTTGATTCCCGGCCCCGCTAAGCTCGGGTCATAATATAATTAGAGAAGAAGCGTTGATGGGATTACCCACTTTCACCAAAGCCCCGGTAATGTGCCAAAATGACAGTTGGTTTTTCAGAGCGCCCGGGAGGGCCGAGCGGAGGGCGGGCGGGGGCAGCGCGCCGGCCACGACTAATCCCGCAGGCTTAGACATTTACAACACCGGATCTGTCTGACACGGACGAGTCCATGATAGCCCGCGCTTACAAACGCTCGGCTCCCTCGGTCGCGCCGATTGGTCCGGCGTACAACAAAAACAATAAAGCGCTTCGCCCTCCGATTCAACCCGAATAGCTGAGAGCGAAGCAGCGGGCCGCGGCGATCAATCACGGCAGCTACGGCAGCTGCTCAGGGGGGGGGGAAAAGAGAACATGTGACACACGTGTTAACACATGCCCACAACAGACGACCGACACACGCACACACACACACGCACACACGCACAACCGCTCCCGGCGTGCTGTCCTACCTGCTGGCGGTACCCAGGGCCGTGATCCAGGCCTGAAAGATCCCCTGGTAGAAAGTAAACGGGCTCTTCCTGGTGATGGCGAAGAATATGGCGGGAAGGATGAGGCCGCCGTGGATCAGCAGGCCCACGATGACGGTCACCATGTACATGCCCAGCTGCCGGGCGACCACCTCCAGGTCCCCGATGGCGGCGATCTTACCCCGCGATCAGCGAGGCGATGCCGATAGGGGAGTACCTAAGGGACGACACGAGGCTCACTGGCACAGCAGAACGTTTGTC